AGGTGAGCCCTGACTCTTCTACCTGATGCCAAACTGATCAATTTTAGTGTGAAGAGTTATACACAGTTCATCAGCACATTCAGGCAGTAAGATCCTTCAGAACAAACCTTTAGAATATCAATCTCAGGGCGCGTTGGGTAGGAAAACGTGACGTCTTTAAATTCAACCAGGCCGGCGCACGTGTCTGGAGCCTCTGTGCCATCGGCTGGGTGTTTGGGTTTCCTGTCCAGGTACTCGAAAACCTTCTCAGCAGCTCCAACTCCCTGCATGAGGCCCGTGTACACCGATGCTATACTCTGTAAGACAAACCGCACGTGACAGCGGTTGATGGGATTAGAGCCTTGTAAAGTATTTGCATACATACACGATGAAAGAAATGAAGAAAATAAGAAAATGGGTGAAATACCTCAAGGCATTCTCCCAGTTCGAGCATGTATATGAAAAAAGATATCAAGGCACCACTACTCATCTGATTGGTTACCACAAGGTGGCCGCCATAGTAGAGGATAGCAACCTCTAAGGCAAGCTCTGAGATCTGAAAAACACATACAAACTCTATTGGCGCCCACGCTAAATAATAATAAATAATATTTACCAAAAGAGATTTGGAGCTTTACATCTTCATTTAAAAGGGCAACTGCTGATACCTACACAACTGGACCACATGTAGCAAGCGTAGGCCAGGGCTTGTTTTTTGTTGAGCTGGAACATGGCCAAAAGCTTGGCGTAGTAGGAGTCGGCCTCCCCACCCTCATTGGCGAAGCTCCGTACCGTCCTCATGGCCGAAATGGTTTCTTCTGCAACTTTATTGGCCTCTGCAAGGGTTGTTTGCACCTCTTTGGTTAATTTCTGGAAAGAAAAGTACAAAGGAGCGAATTTAATCTTACCCGCAAATGGAATGATCAACACACACACGAAACTACTTCACCTTGTAGTATTCGCCGTAAAGCCTAGAGACGAGGGCGATGAAGGGGAATCCCATGATGGTCACCAGCGTGAGCTTCCAGGACATCGCAAACATGAAGATGAAGAAGCCAGCGCCCTTGATGGTGCTCCGCAGGAAGATGTTGATATTCTGAGCAATGAGGTCACTCACCTGGGTGGTGTCAGCTGACAGACGTGAAATGATGTCACCTACAGGGGGACACGGACATTTGAAGGACTGCTCTTCTAATGAAGAAGACTCACAGAGGGAGAAATCACTAATACACATGGAGGGACGATTGGGTTAAAGTGTTCATATATCACCTGTATGGTTCTCATCAAAAAAGGCAATTTCCTGCCTCATCAGAGTTCTGAACAGATGATTCCTGAGCCGCAGATTTAACCTTGCAAAGGTCAGGGTGAAGACTCCTCCCCGTACTCCCACCGCCAGTGAACTGTGGAGAGGGTGAAGGTGTCATGAAGCATTTAGGTATCTTTTAAGTTTGGCACATGTGACACCTGAGACTTCCTGGCTCAGAATCTAGTCAAGCAATTTTGTCACGTCACTAAATCACCACACTCTCTTTCCTGATCCCTTCCATCTCTGAATGCTGTCCAACAGTGGCAAAGAGCCCAAACCTACAATCATTAAATTACAATTATTGTTACAGTAAATAAAACATTAGAGTCCAAGTTGGCAACACTTTCACATAAACAAATGCCCCTCACCTCATACTGCCCTATAATTATAGTGTCTACATATATATAATCTTAGTGAGGACACACATCCCGTCCAACCCTCACCACTGGCCTCAGAAGACAACCTGTAGATGCTCACCTTGCAAAGGCCAGTACTGACAGCATGATCACAGGCTTAGCGAAGTACTCCATGCTCCTGTGAACCACAATGCTGTCTATTGCTTTCCCATAGTAGTAAGGTATGAAGGCCTCACCTGTAGGTTAAAGATAGACACCGGAATATAATGTAAGGGATTTCCACGCGTTTTTTGTGGAACAGATTTCTCATCCGTGTGATGAGCTAACTTTAAGAGTAGAGCTGAAACAGTAAGTCAGTCAATCCGTTAGTTGAATAAAGGAAATTCTATTGTCAAATGTTATAATCATTTCATTGTTGTGATTCTCTCCTTCTGAGTTGTGATGCTTTGCTGCTTTTTTTTTTTTGTCTTGTGAGACTGTTGGTCGAAGAAAACAAGCAATTTGGAAAAAGTCTGCTCTGGGATACTTTGATGGACATTTTCCTCTATAGTCAGACGTTTTATAGACCAGTCGATTAACTGAGAAAATAATCAGCACACTAATCAATAATGAAAACTAGCTGCGGCCCTTGTTAAGAGGTTTAACCTTGTTAATGTACACTGTTGAGAGGTTTTTTGGCCTTCAGTCCACCCTTTATGGATTGCAAAGTCCGTGTGATAAGATTTATTTAAATTGTGACATTGAAGTTTCCTACTGTTACTGCTACTACTGCGCTTAGTTGCTCTTTATGAGAGCATAGATAAAGTGCTGTATAATCTGGAATGAGTAAGACAGACTCTGTACACTATTGCCATAGAAAGACTGTTGAGTTATTGCACATTAGTGCTGCAATCCTCTGTAACAGATAAGTCTACACACTGTGATTTGACTGCTTTATATTATTACGTCAAAGACACTCACACACAGCAGAGATGATGAGGAAGAGGACGGCTACAGACAGCAGCCCACCATCCTTTTTGCAGTAGTTCAGCAGACGTCCCAGTGTAGCCCCAGAGTTGGTCTTCTTCTTCTGGCTTCCGTCCACCTTCTTCTGCCTCTCACGTCCCACCTCCTGTTCCTCCTCACCAGCTGCCTCCACCAGCTTTTCAGCGTCCTCAGAGCCTCCTCCCCCTCCACTGCTGCTGGTGTTATTGCTCGCTGCCTTGGACTCCTTCCCCAGCAGCCCCCAGAGTAGCATGACACCCAGAGAGGAGGCACAAGTCCAACTTATCAGGCTCAGCAGCCAGGGCTGGTGGTTCAGAGGCCCCAGCTCAGACAGCATCAGCAGCTTGGCCAGGGCATAGGTGATGGAAATCAGGCAGATCAGGAGAATGAGGGTGGTGAGTTTGGCGACCCTCGGTGGGCCGTCTTCTCTGTTCCATGACACCCCTATGGAGGCTCCCAGCAGCAGGGAGGCTCTGAGCAGTACAGTCCCCCAGAGGTCCAGCGCTGACTGGAGGATGTTAAAGTTCAGGGCGTCCTTTTTAAATATGCTGAAGTATGATCCGTGTGCATACAGGACAGTGGTGACAACCACGTCCAGTAGGATGTACAACACAGAGCAGCTCACAGCTACTTTGATGCCCATGCTGACTAATGGGACCGATTTCTATAGAGAGTTATGATCAGTATATTTTTATTTTCTTTAAACGTCTTTTATTTTGAAGGAACTTACTTCCTGTCTCCTGCGGCTCGAGGACACGGGGATGAGGTAGTCCTGTAATAACAAGTAATATTTACGCTGTTACTGTATGCTCTGAATGAATGTCCCATAAGGTTGCAACATCTGACCAACAAATGTTCCACTACTTTATCAGCTAGCTATGTAATTTAGCTGTTAGCAGACGGCGAGCTGTTATCAGGTTTCAGATGCTCCCATGTTTTTAATCCCTTCATGTCCAGCCAGGTGTCCACGGGGTCATTCACTACAGTCTGTCTCCAGTCATAATCAAATACACCGTGGCGTATTGGCTCTACTTACTAAGAGACAGCACTCACGTATCAAATTGAGTTTAGTTACCTAACGTTACATTAGGGAAATGGACACCGGTATCAAAGATCGTCTATAGTACTGAGGATTCACACTTTGCAGGTATCTGACGACTGCGACGAAAGACGTGTCGCTGCAACGCGCAGACGCATTTGATGGCTTCATGTAAAATCGACTTTGACTTCCTTCTGTGATATGAATCAATGACGTGATGGAGCTGAGTCAAAGTCTGAACACAATCAAAGCAGTGCAACCGACAGGCTTACCTTGGTCACTCAGTCCAGGAGTGGGGACGTAGAATAGGTCGTTTTAATAGTATCATGTTTAGATCTTAAGTTTGTGTTTTCATTACTTGTATTTATTGTGTATTTTCATCCACTTGTATATGATCCCTCACTGTAGTAATGTGGACTAAAACTACCGGACTATTATTAGTTCTCCACTTTACAGGGTTCTTTTTCTGTATTTGCTTTTAGTTATTTATGGTCATTTGTTGTTTCTTTTCTTGGCATTGATGTTTCTTTTTATCTTATTTTAACATAGCCTAGGCCCTATATGTCAGATGTCTAGGCTAATTGTTTTCTTACTGTTTTTGAACAAATAATTTCCCAGTTTGTACAGAGAATAACATCTCTGGTCCATCCTGTGGGCTTGCCTGGGTTAGTGGGAATCCCTGGATTAGTAGTAATAGAGAGGAATTTAATACCTTGAGTCAAGTCTTTGGGTGGGAGGTGCCGTTGTCGATCATTTTATAGTTAATAATTTGGCCTAGTCCTCTTTTTTGGGCCAGCAATTCGAGTGCCCTGGTATTTTCAAAATTAGACTTTATATTTTTCACTTATCCTTATATTTCAGAAATCCATGTTTCAACTGAGTTTGTAATTGTAGTCTGTATTAAGTTGCCAAGTATTTTAGAGTACCTGGTCAATGAGGCAGCGAATACATTCAAACTTGTCAAAGATGCCGATGATCTCCCATACACTTCACGGAAAAGAAGGCAGAATGACACCTCTTCGCTTTTTATCTCTCTAACCTCAGCTGTGGCGGAAGTGGGCGTTCTGTGGCTCCTCCCTCCAGTCAGTGTTCAAGAGCTGCGAGTCAACAACACCAAAAATACGTTGACAAAGTAGCCCGGGATTCTCCACGGTGTCATGAGTGGACTTTTTCCTTCGATGGAAGTCATGTTTTGTTAAACCCAAGTAAAACAGAACAATCCTCTTAATTATTGGGTCAAAATGATCACGACTCTGAGCAAAGTTTGTCAACATAAAATACTAAGAATAGTATTTTAAGTTCCTACAGGAACAAAAACAAAGAGAGACTCTAATAATACAGTAACAAATGCTCATAAGCAATATTTAATTTCCCATAATGTACTGACTAGACATTATGGGTACAAAAATGAAACCTTCATTTTAAAGTATTGTAGCTTAAAAATTGATTGTATAACAAAGTGAAAACAAATAAGTTAGCATCATTTTCATGGGAAACAATGTTATTTTGTAGGGAAACAGGCAAGAGCTCACATTCACAATTCATGTAGGGTCAGTGTTTACTGCCATTTACTTGGCCAGCAGATTCTGTTTCTACGTGTGAGATTCATCTACAAGTCAAACATCAGCCAGCAGTTTGTTCAGCTGACATGAAGCATAGTAGCACTCCTCATCACACTCATTTCACCAACAGCTGGATTTCCATCTTCTGTCTCATGACAACGTATGGTCGTGCTCCACTGATGTGTCCTCACTACAATCTTTCCAAACTGTCCCCTTCAGTGGACGTCAGATTCAGCTAAGTGATAGGCTAACTCAGTCTTTATGTCTTCGGAGCTGCTTTGCTCGGTGGCCAGCACCGTCTCAACAGGAAAAGACAAATATAAACTCTCTTTCAGTTTCTTCGGGGAGGGCGAGTCTCCCGCGCCGAACAGGGGATCTGCCATTTTGAAGGTCATCGAGGGCATGTTATGTGTCCTGCGTTTGGCGTTCTTCTTCTTCTTCTCTTGTTTGTAGGCTGTGTTCATGTTCGCGATCACCTGGAAGTGGAACATTCAGACACAAAGGGATGTCAAAATGTTAAAGGACAATACAATTATAAAACATCTGAGCTGAATATTTTCGCTCTGTATCTACCACGTTATGCCAACAAGAGCACTGAAGCACTAAATATTTTCTTCACAATGACAATGGGTAAAATGGTTGTAATGCATCTCTCAGGGGGATGAACCCACATAGAATTATTACCAAAACTTGCAGACCCCCAGTTCTATGGAGACTTTCGCTTCTTTTAGTTTGATGTTTTGGTTTTGGTTCGCTGACATAATGTGATGCATGCTGGACTTAGCATAAGGCATGCTGGTTAGACACTTTGTGAGACTTTCACCGGTGCTGCAAAACGTCACCATGTCACAGGACATTAAAACCTTGTGGAAGCAAGGCAGCTGCAGTTTTCTGAGTCCAGCCACCGCAGTTGCTTTTCTCCGGCTGCACCAAGTTGGAACCACCTTTTGCCTGATTTCAGATCAGTCTTTGCTGTCCACAGCAGCTAACGTTTGACTATCAAGTCGGCGACACGTCAGCCGCATCGAACGCACCTTATATCAGTGTTTTTCTGCAAGTTCCGCTACTCCTAACTGACCAAAAATAAATAAATAAATATATTTTTTAAAAATCAATTAATCCAGCTTTAAAGAAGTTTTAAAGTTGCATTAAATCTGCATGAATTCAGGCAACACATTTTTTAAACAAACCCGCCTTTCTGCATGTCCTATCAAATCAAATAACCCTCCTCTCTATAATTAATGGGCCATTTAACCCTCCCGTACATCCCACAAAGTAAATACTGTACATCACACTAAGAAAGTATCAACATCCATTCATGGGATGAGTTATTTTAGTGCCGGCACAAACTGAATCAGATTTTAATAGTTTTGAATTTGAAATATTCTTACTGAATATTGTATGCAAAATTTGAAATTGTATTTCACGGATTGCAAATTAATTTAAGTAGTATTGTTTTCAACCTGTGAGTATTATTTAAATTTTGGTGGAGTTCAAAAATTCAGGTCAGAAATTTAGTTTTCATATTCAGTTTCTCAAAATTTGATTTCAGCTTACTAGCACTCATCCAGGGGAGTATAGACTAGGGTAGAAGAGCAGACAACATTTCAAAACTATAAAAGTCAGATTCAATTTGTGCCGTCCATTGTGCACTAAAATACCTCCATACCTTTAAAGACACGGAAGTGAGAATCATAATTTCTGACCTTGTGTCAAAACCAACAAAGCAGTGTCTGATTGAAATAGTGCAAGACAAAACCATATGAATTACCAGTTGCTTCACTGAGTTCTGCTGCTCCTGCATTATGGTCATGTATGTCGAGGCCTTCTCCTTAATGGAATACATATCCTGTTCTAGCTCATCATAATTCAGCAGGCTCAATGTAGTCTAGAGGGAAGGAAATAAAATTGGTAAGCAGAAACAAACAGCACTGTTAGAATTTTTTCCCCAGACAAATGGAACCTTACCTCGTTTGGTAAATTAGCCTTCCTGTTGAACATGAGGGAGTAAGGGGTGAACTTGGTCGTAGGGTTGGTGGACGTCCTAAACAGAAATAGGACGGGGTCCAGGAAGTCGTCCCACTCATCCTGCTTCTCTGTTACCATCTGCACAATGGCTTCCTTCAGTAACGGACTTGTGCAGTCGTGGAGCGGGTTGAGCTGAGGTTGATCCAGACGGGAAACCTTCTGCACGATGCTCCACCTTTCGCACAGCAGCTTCGTCACCTGGAAGATAAACCAGACCCACCACTGCACTACAATCTCTGATCCTTCTATTGAGCTGTTTATTGGAATGAACTCACATCTCACCTCATCACAGAAGTCAGCATTCTGCGTGCACACTACTGTTTTAGGGGCACCAAACCTGATAGCATAAAAGAAAACAGAGTTCAATTTCAAGTTAAAAAGTTTTGTAATTTTGTGGCTATCAACATGGGTTAGAATACCACTCAGCCACGTAAAACAGTTTTATCAAGTTCTATCAAAAACACCAAACCTTTTGGTTTTGAGGGACATGAAAGTGGTCTTAAGTAGAGGACTAAATAAAACAAAAGTAACGTAAACGTTTTTACCGATATATGCATTTGGAAATACATCTGGCAACAGAGAGCGCATCTGTCTTTTGCACTGGAAAAGCTTCTGGCCATTTACTAAAGTAATCAATGAGGACTGTGACGTTGGTGTTGCCTTGCCGCGACTCTGGGAAAGGCCCTGGTGAAGACAAGAGAAAAACAGACAGCAGGTCACAAAGTGTGGAACGAAATCGTACAGCAGAAAAAATATTATTTGATGAAATTAATTGAGGCAAAAACCTATAATGTCAATCCCAACAATGTCCCAAGGTGCGTCCACTTTTATAGGCCGGACAGTCCTTGCCAGGCTTTTATTCCTCTCTGTTTGCTGACAGGTCTCACATACTTTTATCTGAAACAGCAAACAGTTATCATTACGGTTAGACCATATTATCATTATTTCCAAGTGATGTTAACAGAACACTGACGACATAAACATGTATTACCCAATCCACTACATCTTTGACGATCCCCAGCCAGTAGTACTTGCTCTGGATCCGGTGGACAGTCTTCTTTTGGCCCAGGTGATGACCGATGTCATTAAAGTGGCAGTCAAGAAAAATCTGCCTCTTCCTCTCAGCCTCAATCACCACTTCCCTCTTCTCTTCTTTCTTGGGTCCCACATAGTACAGCTTTCCCTCTTGAATTAAGATATGAATGAAGAGTGGGGCATGCTGTAGCACACTTTGGTACTCCGACAACAAGAGGTTGCTGAATACATCTTAATAAATACTTGTGGCATATGATGCGAACATCACACCATACTGAGTTTAAAAAATTGTATTTAATGTTGTCTTGCTTATCTTGAATGGTAGACATACTCAGAAAACAAAACATGGACCTGCTGAGAGAATAATGAGAGCAACGCCTCAGTTTGGCAAACACCACATATCTTCAGAAAATGTCATCTTATATTTTACTTATTATATTAGTTCGAATGTTGTTCCAATAAAGCAAAGTACAGCCAGGATAGTTACAAGTGGAGATATACCAGTGCTGGTTATTGTGAACCACTACATTAGTGAGCCGAACTTTGTAGAGGCGCCAACAACTTCATTTAATATCTTACTTTATGTCCTATAAAGTATATATTTGCTGAAAAGCAGGGCCACGTTAAATTTTCAAGTCTTTTGAATGGAAGTTCGTGACGCCATCAGACGTTCCTGGAGCTAGAGGAAAGCAATACATTGCCAGTGTTTTATTCGCTGTAGAATAACCCTTACCATCAATGATAAATTTCTGGGCGTATCTTTTGAGATTCTTCTTTCGTAAAGGATTCATTGTCTGAGGAAAGCAGCCTTTAGCCACAAAAGTGTAAATGTCACCGAGTTTATTGGAGCTGGATTCAACCACCTCCTCCTCAGCCACTTGCAACGACTCCACGCTTAACATTTCCGCATAGACTTTACAAAACAGTACGGACAGCGAAAATACACCTCAATGCGAAAAAATATCCTGGTGACCAATCGGCATATTTAGCAGCAGTGCTAGCTACTGCTAACGAAGACAGATCATCCACAACAAAATCACAACAGGATGAAGACACATAAGGGTGTGCTAGTCTCTCTCTTCTTCTACTTAAGCATATGTGCCGTTGGTAACCCATTTTTCGCACTAGCGCCCCCCCCAGACAACAACCACTTCGTGCAAGGTCCAGGTTGAACGTTTTATTTTGAAGTACAACTGTACACTCTCCACTGGAAACCTTATGTCAGCCTTAAATGATACAAATGTTAAGACGTTATCAAATGACGCAGGTGTTTTGAGTTATATTTTTCCACCTACATATATGAATCTTGATAAAATTTAACGGTCACTATCTCTGCCTACGTTTCTTTCTGTTGCAGAATAGTTGTGCGTTTCTGTCTTCTAGTGGTCATAGATTGTAACTACAACTCCCAACACGATAGCACTCGTATATAGTTGGATGTTGTTCCAGTTGCTGGCCGCTTTATTACTCTCTGAAATTACTATTGTTGGAGATGACGCTTTTATTTTCAGGATTTGGAACCGGAAGAGGACACTGTTATTTTAGGATTTCAAACCGGAAGTGCTATGTTTGTTGAAGCCGCTGACCCAGAGTTACCCACGTAGGTGGTCAGTCTTGGAGGAATACTATTACGACGTTTTTCTGTTTTCTTAAAAGTAATTCCTTTTGCGAGTAGTAATAATGACAAACCAGGAAGACAGAAATCCTCAGTTTTATATCTGTAACTGTTTCAAAACTGATAATATTTTCCTGGAGGACTACAAGCTGCATGTCCGCTTCGAATCCGAGCAGCAGTTCAGACTGGACTATCAGGCAGTGAGTGGAGATTAGTTACATTTTTTAAACACAAATAGTATTTGAAGTGGCATGTCCTGTTTGTATAACTGTTACACTACTGACAAGTGTGCGTTGCATGTTAATTCTTGCTACACAGCTGCTCAGCAGGCTTGGTTGCGTGACGGAGCAACAGTTTGAGGATGTGCTCAACAAGGTAAGAAAGTGTGTTTAAGTGACCGAACTATTTAAGGTTGACGCCGTTTCCTCATGAATGGAACCAATGCGAGGGCGATACATCGTTTCAGTTTTTCATCTGGTCCTGTCCAAGCGGTCCAGATATTGTAAACAAAAGCCATGTGGTTGAAATGTCGTTCGATTATCGGCGGGGAAAATAACAAACTCCTCCAAATTTCTACCTGATAGCATCATGGAGCACCGTCAGGTTCATAGTGGTGTTGGTCTGCAGCGCATATCAGCAGACTTTAGAGGGTCACGCACATGAACATCAAACAAACAATTTAATAATGCAGGAGGAAGAAACTCTGCATCAGGCGGTCTCATCACAGATAATTTATAATAAATAAAAAAGTAAGTGGGCCACAATTGCAAACATGCAAAAAAGTTGGCCCATGATGCAAATGGAAGTAAAGGCTTATTATAAAAGCTGCTTATTTTTATGAACCCATGTATCTCCTTGAATGAATGATTTAATGCATATACAGGTGCTGGTCATATAATTAGAATATCATCAAAAAGTGAAACTTGGATATTATTTTCATTCATTCCACACAGACTGATATATTTCAAATGTTTATTTCATTTAATTGTGATGATTAAAACTGACAACTAATGAAAATCCCAAATTCAGTATCTCTGAAAATTTAAACATTACTTAAGACCAGTACAAAATAAGGATCTTTAGAAATGTTGGCCAAATGAAAGTATGAGCATGTACAGCACTCAATACTTAGTTGGGGCTCCTTTTGCCTGAATTACTGCAGCAATGCGGCGTGGCATGGAGTCGATCAGTCTGTGGCCCTGCTCAGGTGGTATGAGAGCCCAGGTTGCTCTGATAGTGGCCTTCAGCTCTTCTGCATTGTTGGGTCTGGCGTATCGCATCTTCCTCTTCACAATACCCCATAGATTTTCTATAGGGTTAAGGTCAGGCGAGTTTGCTGGCCAATTAAGAACAGGGATACCATGGTCCTTAAACCAGGTACTGGTAGCTTTGGCACTGTGTGCAGGTGCCAAGTCCTGTTGGAAAATGAAATCTGCATCTCCATAAAGTTGGTCAGCAGCAGGAAGCATGAAGTGCTCTAAAACTTCCTAGTAGACGGCTGCGTTGACCTTGGACCTCAGAAAACACAGTGGACCAACACCAGCAGATGACATGGCACCCCAAACCATCAGTGACTGTGGAAACTTTACACTGGACTTCAAGCAACGTGGATTTTGTGCCTCTCCTCTCTTCCTCCAGACTCTGGGACCTTGATTTCCAAAGGAAATGCAAAATTTACTTTCATCAGAGAACATAACTTTGGACCACTCAGCAGCAGTCCAGTTCTTTTTGTCTTTAACCCAGGCGAGACGCTTCTGACTCTGTGTTTTGTTCAAGAGTGGCTTGACACAAGGAATGCGACAGCTGAAACCCATGTCTTGCATACGTCTGTGCGTGGTGGTTCTTGAAGCACTGACTCCAGCTGCAGTCCACTCTTTGTGAATCTCCCCCACATTTTTGAATGGGTTTTGTTTCACAATCCTCTCCAGGGTGCGGTTATCCCTATTGCTTGTACACTTTTTTCTACCACATCTTTTCCTTCCCTTCGCCTCTCTATTAATGTGCTTGGACACAGAGCTCTGTGAACAGCCAGCCTCTTTAGCAATGACCTTTTGTGTCTTGCCCTCCTTGTGCAAGGTGTCAGTGGTTGTCTTTTGGACAGCTGTCAAGTCAGCAGTCTTCCCCATGATTGTGTAGCCTACAGAACTAGACTGAGAGACCATTTAAAGGCCTTTGCAGGTGTTTTGAGTTAATTAGCTGATTAGAGTGTGGCACCAGGTGTCTTCAATATTGAACCTTTTCACAATATTCTAATTTTTTTATACTGATTTTGGGGTTTTCATTAGTTGTGTTAATGTTATAATCATCAAAATTAAAAGGAAAGAACACTTGAAATATATCAGTCTGTGTGGAATGAATGTATAATTTATACAAGTTTCACTTTTTGAATGGAATTACTGAAATAAACTTTTTGATGATATTCTAATTATATGACCAGCACCTGTATGTCCCTACATGCTACATACATAAAAAGTTCAATATATCAAAAGGTGCCGACCTTTCCTCAAGAATAAATATGACATATAATAATTAGCCTATTATTATTTTATATTGTACATATTTGGAGATACTATTAAAATACTATAGATTTATTTTTTATGGTATCATGTTCATATTTTGAATGTATTTTTTACTCTCTATATTCATACTGAAATAATAATAATCAAGATAAAGCTGGTGTTTGCCCTTCTGCTCCATGGGAGGATTCTGTCCTCCCTGAGCTCACCTAAGGACACCTGCATTACTGTTTGATAGGTGTACCATCCCAGTCAAACTCCCTACCATCTGTTCTTGACTGTTGCAGTACATTATCTTTGTTTTTATTTCCTCTTACTGTGTTCATTGTACGTACCAAACACCATGGCAAACTGTCAAAACCTACTTGGTGATAAAATGATACATATTAAACATTATCAACAATAATAATACATCAATATTTTTTACTGTATTTTAAATGACACATACAGTGGTAGTTTCCTGTGAGTCTTCAGCGGTCAGAAACCACCCCCCCACCCCTTCAAGGCGAATGTTTGGTTCGTACCAGAGTTCAAGTCTGGTGTTCAGACCAACCCAAACGAACAAAGGCTCGGTTCAACCGGACTAAATGAAGTTGGTGTGAACCCACCTTTTACATTTGGTTGGTGACATTTGATCCACTTCAATTTAATTTGAGCCCGAGTGATAAATCAATGTACCTGAAATTATTGGTTGGGCTCAAGTAACCTCTTGATATGAGTTAATTACACATAAATCGGTATCTGTGTTTATAACAGATGATAAATGACAATTAAAAAAGAAACTGAGTGATGGATCCTTCAGTCATGTTATGAGTGTTGTTGCATAGTTTGTCTTTGAGAGGGCACTTTGCAACTCGCCTGTTGGCAACACATGTTTGGAACCACAAATCCACCACAAAACACAGCAATCAGCTGACACACTCAGCAGTACTTGTGTTCAAATGACTATTTATAAAAAAATATATATATATTAAACTGCATAACGTCATAACTACATATATCAAATGTTAAAGATAAGCTAAGTTATGTGGCTAAAAAGAGGGAAAACAATATTTTTAAAAAATATATCTTCCGATATATTGGAATATCAAAATCTGGCGGGCTCTAGTTTTTACAAAAGAATTGTTAGATGCTGTCTTAGAGTTAGTAGGCCTACAGGTAAATAGATGGCCAGGAAACATTTTATCTTAAGATAATGAGATAAAGTTGTGATCATGAAAAGTTCACCTTATTCTTCTGCACTTAGCCCTGCGTCCCTACTAGACGCCAACTTTACCTATATGTCTACTGGGTTTAGATTTCGCAGGAAGTGGACAGGCGAAGGCGTCTAGATGTGACGTCTGCGGAGAGAGCTGCTGCTATCAAAGAGGCGTACAAGCCTCTCCATCCTCACGTCTACCATCTGCAGGTATTTACTGCATCAGCCATTGCAGATAGTGTCATTAAAAATGTGTCATTAACAAACTCACTGAGGCACACCTGCACGCCACCTCTCCTCAGGAGTCCTACCTGGCACCGAAGTTCAAGCAGATTGTTGCGTACTGTCGAAGCAGGGACAGCAGTGAAGAAGGTCTCTCGGGCTTGTTGGAGGAAGAGGCAGGTGAGCTGGAAAGTGCTTTTCCTGTTAGAGGCTTATGTCCAAATAAGAAGTATTAACTCACTTTCAATGCAAACAAGTGATCGCTGTTATTAGTACTAGTATTAGGTTTTTTGGATTTACTTTCTTAATGCTTTGTATCACCCAACAATGGTCTGACTGTCTGGTGACTGAAAGCTCTCGGCCACAGTCCCAGACCTGACTGAGAAGTTTTTAAATTATAGAAGTTATTAGATTGATTAGATTCAGAGTCTAAATTGTTTGAATAGTGTGATGTGGCTGATTAAAGTCAAAACATTGTCATCGTTGTCATTCAGACAAATACATTGTTTGGGAGCTAAAAACCAGTGTGAGGACAGTGTACCTTTTCCATTGCTTATAGGAGGTTGAAAGGGTGGCAGGCAAAGACAGATGCCAGGGATATGGAGTGGGAGACACCAGCACTAACCATCTTTCCTGTCATTTCCAGCATGGTCTCATTTGTTCATATTGATTGCGCCACATGATCACAGTTAGACAACAGTATATGGAGTTATGAAAATGGTACATGGAGGATCTTTTTATTTTATTCTCATCTTTCTGTTGAAGCTGTGAGGGTGTATCGCTTCCCTGTGTTTGAGAGAGGCTTCTGCGAGGAGCTGGTGGAGGAGCTGGAGCACTTTGAGCGCTCCTCAGCGCCTAAAGGAAGACCCAACACCATGAACCATTATGGGGTAATGCATGTGCTCCTACTGGCTGAAACCCCTGTAAAGCACCATTTGATCGCCGCTCCGTCATTTATATTTCATCATTTTGACATTTTGAACCGTGGTCCCACGAATCATGAAATATGTGGAAGTAGCGGGCGGGTGCATGCAGGGACTTTGATAGATTATCAAACAAAGTCAGGGAAAGTCAAGGGTCATTTCACACTAGTGTCTTTAAAAATGCATTGCTTAATGTGGTTGTGGGCCAAGATGGAGCCCTAAAACCTGAAATTCGGAAGATAGAAAATGTTGAGCCATGAAAGAGTTGTGACTTAAATATGTATAGTCACAAGAAGGTCAGGGAATTAAACATGAGGGATGCATTATCTCTAAGTCCTTATATTCATGATATTCTTCTCATTTTCTCTCTCTCCCAGATCCTCCTGAATGAACTGGGCTTTGACGAGGACTTCATTACGCCCCTCCGTGAGCACTACCTGCATCCGCTCACCTCCCTGCTCTACCCGGACTGTGGGGGGCGCTGTCTGGACAGCCACAAGGCCTTTGTTGTTAAATATGACATGAATGAAGACCTGGACCTGAGCTACCACTACGACAACTCAGAGGTCACCCTTAATGTTTCCCTGGGCAAGGACTTCACCGAGGGCAACCTTTATTTTGGTGATATGAGACAGGTGAACATCTGGTCATAATACTATAATGCTGTTACCACTATTATTACACCTACAACCACCACTTCTGCTACTTGTAGCATTGTGTAATTAAATTTAACAATGTCGGCAAACAGATAGACATTTTAAGCGGTTAGATACAGAGTGTATCATTGTGCCAATAATCATTATATACAGTGGGGAGAACAAGTATTTGATACACTGCTGATTTTGCAGGTCTTCCTACTTACAAAGCATGTAGAGGTCTGTAATTTTTATAATAGGTACACTTCAACCTGCAAAATCAGCAGTGTATCAAATACTTGTTCTCCCCACTGTAGGTGTATATGCAGTAAAACAATTATGATATAAACTCGTATTTAACAATAAAAGTACACAGGATTTTTAGGGTTAGACTTAAGTTATTTCTAGTTTTAAATCCCTGTCCAAAATGTACTTGTTGAGAGGTTCGACATGAGCAAGTCTTGAAATTGTCTCATCACGGGGGTAGATATTGTGTTGTTTTCTTTAGCTTGAAATAATCCCATACTTTGGACACTTTGTTCTTTGTCCCTCGCTTTTTTCTCTCTCTCCCTCCACTTTGCAAACAGCGGCATCATAATCACGTCGTGTTCACAGCATAAACGCGATGTGCGACAGTAATAAATGTCCGTACAAAACACTGTGATGTATAGTTAAATGGATTAATCGAAGCATCGATGCAAAGAATTTGTGTTGATGAATTTTATTAATCGATTTTATTGATTTAATTGATGAATCATTTCAGCCCTAGTTGTCACCAAATAATGTCCTCCTGTGGTGAAACATCTCTAAGATCAGAAAAACCTGCTGATAAAACTTTATTTAAAACTTGAAATCTTTTTCTGGCAGTTTAGAAATACTATAATTGAATCGCACATTAATCCCTCCCCCCGCAGGTGCCTTTAAGTGAGACTGAGTGCACAGAGGTTGAACACAGGGTGACTGAGGGCCTCCTCCACCGGGGCCAACACATGCACGGGGCCCTGCCCATTACCTCCGGCCAGCGCTGGAACCTCATCATCTGGATGAGAGGCTCACAGGAACGCAACAAACTGTGCCCCATGTGCAACAGGAGGCCGACACTGATGGAAGGGGAGGGCTTCGCTGACGGGTTCACCAAACACTCCGATGCACTGCTGAACGCCTCCTGTGTGCTGACGTGACGTGTCGCTCTGGTATCAGCCTTTAATAAAGACATTGTGTGTAGGATTTTAAAATTTGCAACTTCGGTGTCCCCAGGTAGTGGTATCAAAAAATAAGACACCGTGGCAGGAATGCTGCAGGAATAAATGATTTTAACATGACATGGTTTAGGTTTGTCCTACATGTTCTGTCAGGTGATGAATAGACAGATGTGCTGCAATGTGATTGTTGTAGAATTAATCAAGACAGCGCTGGGTGACTGTAGAGAGCCATTAAATTGAATTAATTGTAATGACACATTTGACTGTATTCCAAATTGGAATGATGAATATTTATTATTTGTACTATTAATAATAGTAATGGCATTATGATTGTGTTTCAGACATTCTGTGTTGTGTCCCATTTTGTGATGTGTGTATTTATGACTTTACTGTCTCAAATATTAGTCATTAATAATATGAAACAACTCCCACTGGTCAAACCCCCTGTATTTATATACAGTATGATTGTACTGTGTGTTGTGCCAAAGATGATTTAGAGATCAATTGTGTTTAAAAAAAACAAAAAACAAATTAGGGATACACCACTCTGAGTGGATCTCTTTCATTACTACTTCCAATACCTAAAGTCAGGGTTTCCCCTAAGACTGAGTACCAATCTGATACCAGCGCTCTTATTCCCTAAATTTAAGGGCATTGCTGTGGCAGTCACAATGAATATAGTGGGAATACTTACAGGCACCCTGTGGAGCTTTTGAACACTGATAGCGCTATAGAACCAAGTTTTTACGAGTGTGTCCCCATTTTGTTTGAATCGTACACGAGGCCGACAACGCTGGTTTCAGGCTATTCCACTGACCAACAGTTGGTGGCGGTTACATGCAAAGAAGTGTAGCAATGTGCCAACAAAGGCAGAGAAGAAGGCGGCTAGGAAATGTGGATGTAAACAATGCAGGGTTTTGAATATTCAAAAATTCTGCTTTGCTAATGTCTTATGAGGAAGGAAATGCATTTACATGTTTCTCAGACCTCAAGGACACGCAATGCGTTTTGTTGAGAAACATTAGCTTGTAGCTATCAGTGTATCTTTATTCAGAAGACATCCTGGAGCTATTTATCTGTCAATGACTGGTGATATCTTACTTTGTTCAACATTGCTGATACTTAAACGTTCCTGTGCAAGGATTACGTGCTTACCACAGATTTGTCAGCTATGCTGTAGATTTGAAGGGGGAAAAAATCACAATGTTCAGCACAAGACAAGCCACATCATTTGGAATAATGGAATTTTAATTACATAAGTGTATCTATCAATTCATAAATATCCACCATGTTTGCATTTCTTGTGTGTGTGTGTGTGTGTGTGTGTGTGTGTGTGTGTAGTGTTGGAAGTGAGGTGGAAAGATTTTGAGAGTAAAAACACAAATATAAACCTGTACGCTACATCTGGCATAATAAATCGTTTTCAGCAACATCAGAACATCAGGACTTTTTGGTTGTTTCTTTTTGTTCCAGGTTAATGTGCCAATATGAAGTGATGAACTGGAGGGACACAGGGAAAGGAGAGCTGGTTCTCTGGGATCAGAGGCACACTACTGCAAAGGCTAACAAACAGTAGATGGCGTGACTTTGTCAAGTAGACTTTACATCCTCATGGTAAATAGTTCTGTGGCTAAAATGGTGCTTGTTCTCTCTTCTATTATTGTACAGACGTTTTGACATTGTACTGACTTCAAGATTAGTTTGGATTTGGAGTCATTGCATTAATAGTACAATATCAATATATAGTTATGAATGTATAAAGATAAATATTTTCACATTGAATATATTATCCTATGCAGCACATACAGATAAACACTTCCTCTCTTATTATGGCTATTTACATCATACAAGTAAATACATTTAGTATTTAATATATTATTTAAAACAAAATCTGTCAAAAATGCACCAATTTAAAAGCAGCTTCTCCAACTGCATTGATTGGATCAGTCTGTTAAAGGTGTCAGTTTGGTGGTCTGTGCCACCTTGTACTGTCTGTGGGTCAGCACTGGCTGCTTGGAGTAGTTTGCCCACACCCGGTTGCACGTAGTTCTGTCAACAAGACGTCGAGTCCCAGCTTTATAACGTGGTCTCACTGCTCATGTCCCGAGGACGGTGGTGGTCGATGTCCGAGTCGTAGTCCGACTCCATCTCGATCTTGACCTGGGGCACGGGGCAGACCATGCCTCGGCCCATAGGCATGGCCGGAGACGACGGGCAGGAGATCTTCAGGTGGAGGGTGATGCTGAGGAAGGGCAAGCTCCAGTTACCATACACACCCACAGCCAAAAACATGGAGGGGCCGAGGGAGGAGGCGTGGGAGGGTGGAGGAGCTAAGCCATGTGGCACCACGACCCCAGCCAAACACTACAGCAGCTTATGTCATCGATGAACAGGAGGTGGACTGATGAGTGAAATGAGCTGCTGTAGGTTGTCTGTGGCCACACTGCCTTACGGTCAAGTCCTGATGGGACTGGTGACTGGGAAAGGTTTCATACCATGAACATGGGAATCAGTTTGCTGTGGCCCTTTCCAAACCTTCACCCCAAGACAGACATTTGTAACCAATAGAAAGCAAAGAACAAGCCACGTTTTCTAACCTTGTCCAAAAGTATTTTTCTACCTTATGCCAAATGAACTTGAATGAAAAATGAAAATCAGAACCAAGAATATAGAAAGAGGAGACTGATGTAGGGCTGATGCAATAATGAACAGAGAACTTTTATATTATCCAAAAAATGTAATGTAACTAGTGATTAAAAGAGAGAGAAGAAAATGCAACACACAGTATAACTTGACTTTACAAGAATGAATTTCACTAGTTCACAAATTAAACTACAGTTTTGTTTGGACTTTGACATCCAAAAAGATTTAGAATGTTACTTATAGAAATCAGTAATCAACCTTGCCCGTTGTGCACTTTTTAAGTCAGTACATGTTGTAACATTATTTTAATTTTTTAAATAATATTTTTATTGCTATATGTTGCCAAATAAATGTGTTTGGAAGGTTTGGTGATAGAAATGCATTAAAGGGAGGCATGAAGTTTTCAGTCAAAGTAATTTTCATTATCTAAATCCACAGTTGACAACATTGCGCAAAACAAATTCATCTTAGTCCCTAATCAGTTACTCTGTCAATTCCAAACCATGCCTCTTTTAAAGCAATGCAGACAGGAATGGCAACTTTGAAATCCTCAAAGTAAAAAAAAAACAACAAAAAACAGTCAAACAATGTATGTGTGGTTAAATGTTTGGCAAAATGAGCAAAGGTTACCAGAAATAGCCTCATCAGCTGCCCTTTCAATGCAAACATTTCCATCAAAACTGCTACGGCTCTAGGTGAGGATAGTTCAGAGAGCAAAAAGCTAAGGTCAGGCTACATTTCACATGCAGGTGTGAGCATCACAGACGGATTTACTAAAGAGATTCAGCACATGGAGGAAAAAGAAACAACCAAAACAATGATGCTTGTTGCATGTGGATACTTATCCAGTGACATCCAGTTATGCAGGCCAACAATAAATCCCCTATATCTCCTAGATATACAACATACATACCGCACATTATTTTTATTCATCTATTTAAATTCCACATGTGTTCTAAATCTAAAATTACCAATGGCTTTGAGGCACAGAGCAGACTACACAGCATGCATTTCAGGTCATCACCCTTCACCTCACAGTCACAGCCTTTCAGAATATTTCAAAGCTAACAACACACATCAGTGAAGAATTTCAATAAGCTGGGCTGTGTGTACAAAGGGCAGCGCGGTGCATATACTGTGATACATTTTGCACATGACACAGGAAGAGTAGCAGCAGGATTATACAGTAATAACATTACAATGGTCTGCATTGCCTTAAAGTGCATGGAGAAGAGACTGAGCCCAGAAACTGGGCTATGAGGACAATGTTACGTGTAAATAATCTGTCTGCAATTGTGGACGAACATGTCCGCCCACAAAAGTGACCATGTGTACGCTGTATAATAGTTTGTTTGTTTTTCATGGGGGAAACAATTAGAAGCACCATTATATAATGCAATGCAACACCATGACAAAATAACTATTTAAGGTGTTTGATAAGCCGTTTAATTAAGATAATTAAGAGTTTTGTCCATATTTTTAAAGAGCCAGTTCACCTGAAAAAAAACATAATTCCAATTTACCTGTCGTAGTATGTAGCCATGCAGAAAGTTTGAGTTTTAGTTGCCAAGGATTTTAATATAAGTCTAAAAAATGTCTGCTGTTACCTCATTCAAGTGGAGTTTGCGGTGCTCACATCATAGAAAAAACTAAAATCAGCAGCATTGTGTTCACCCAGAAACAATGTTATTCTGGAGAATCCACAGACCTTACTGTGGCCAGTTTTCATTGGAACCTATCAAAGAAATAGTCCCAGTGAAGATTGCTGTATGTGTTCTGTAATTTACAGAATATAGTATAACAGGTAGGGACAATGTTTCTGGAAAGACATGCTGCAAATCTTCTTTTCCTTTTTTTTTTTGCTGAGAGCACCACAAACATAATCCCATCATCTCCACTATGTTGGGGTGGATGCAGCAAACTCAGAGGCAGATGTCTCCAAACCTGAAGCCTGCAAGCTACTTTAGCCATCAATGCTCTGCTTACTCGCCTGAAAGCAATGCTGACACTTGATTGTTGTGGCATTTCATAAGCCCCACCACAACCCAAGCATCGCCCTGCAGACTCTACAGTCGCTGGTCTACATCCCCCACTCCCTGCTTGGTCATTCTCTCGTGGGGAGTGATGGAGTCAGAGCACAGATGATAAATATCTATACCTATTCTACATTCTCCTAATATTCTATCCCACAGTAGTTGGTTCACTGAGATACAACTAAAAGTATAACAAATTTCGAAGTATTACTAGAAGTATGAGAGAAAATATATTATATAGTAATTTTTGTGAACTGGCTGTTTAATTTCGGCACATTTACTGTGTATGACAATTTTTTTCCCACAATAGGATCTGTCTGTGTCTGTGTAATAGAGAAAGTGTGAGTGTGTGTGTGCATGTTAATGGGCACTGTGTGTGGCATTGGGCTCACAATAAGCACCCCACTGAGACTGTGCAACATCAGGATAGACGAGGTCTTTGTAGGGGATGTGCAGTTTGAGGACACAGTACCTGCGATCCAAGTCTGACTCTGAGCTGGGTGAGTGGTTGGAGTAGGCGTGGCACTTGTCCTGCAAGCCAACACAGACATTAACAATACAGACACAGAGCATCAGGCACTCATGTCATGATCCATCATTCCTGCAGAGGGCATTAGAAGCTCGAGTTTCTCACCTCGTCCTCGCTGTCGTCTGATTTGGGTTTCTTTTTCTCTTTCTCCTTTTCCTTCCCCTTCTTCTTATCTTCGTCCTTCTTCTTCTTCTCTTTCTCAGGCAGGAGGTCGTCCAGCCAGGCCAGGTCATGCTGGGAGAAGACCATGTCCAGCATCTTTCGGACAACCATCAGACCCAGGATCTGAAGGGTTAGACACAGAGATTACACAGGCCTTGTGTAAACTCCCATTAATATTCATCTCATTTCAGAGTTGTGGTCTGAATGTGATTTAGCTGGATGGCATTTGTAAATGACATTAACATGAATCACTGGTGTATATATAGTGAAATCAGATCACTTCCTCTCTTAACATTTACACTCTTTAAAATTGATCTTAAACCTCTGTCATGTTTCTTTACATTTACTAACAATCATTTTTAATATGGATATTTCATTTGAAAATGCTGGTTCGATCTCTTCTATAATTTCTATATGCAGACATTGTTTTAGCTGCAGCACATCTCTGACCCCCTCTGGAGCATCTTCAAAGCATCCTGGATTAAAACTTGATTTCATGTGTTTTGCTACCAAATGATATAAACATATCTGATCATACAGGATGCATGTAAAACCCTTGTACTAAAAGAGTTCAAACAGCAACAAAATACAGAGATTCATCAAAAGCTGTGTTGCAAATGTATTTTGTCACATACCATAACAGGGAAGACGATTGCCAGGAAGGTGGATTTGAGGATCCAGAGCACACCCAGACATATGATCTGGACCAGTGTGAACAGGTGTACCTTCCTCAGAGGAACATGGCGAAGGTAGGAGTAGTCGGGCTGGTGCTTGGACGGCATCATGTACAACTTAATCCTGTCCCAGAACTGTGGAGGATGATGAGACAAGGGAGCAAATAGAAGAGCATTTCTAAAGGTCTGAAGGGCACAGGCCAATTACATGCTGACCTCTATGACTGATTAATTCCAAAATCATTTGGGGGGATCTGTATGTATCACAGCTCAGCTTGCCTGTGCAGTGAGTTGGAGTAAAGTTACTGAGGAGCACCTGCTCTGGCACAAACTCACCCAGCCCTAAGCTATAGGTTTTTCAAAAATCATCTAAATCTGTTATTCTAGATACTGGTTATTATAATGAGACACCTGGCTATCAGAAACATACACTGACAAATATAGTCCAGCCACCCACAGGTGTATATATTCAGCCCAGGATTTGGTATCCCAGGTATGTGTTGTTTTTACATTCCACCTTATTTTGCAGACAATATTTGGGAGCTTATAACAAATCCCCCCAAGTTTTTTTTTTTTTTTCCATTGGTCTCTGAGGTCTGTAAGGACACAACAGTTCGCATCTGCCTGCCTACTTGTTTGTTTGCTTGGCTGCTTTAAATAAGCCTGGAATCAGAAATGCAATAAGTAATGTCTAGCCATAATAAATATGATAAACAGCTGGCACACAGCATACCTGTATTCCACTGAGGGAAGCTACGCCCATGTAGAGGAAGACACCGTACAACACAGGCATGGGGATGAACTGCAAGCAGCAGGAAGGGCCAGAAAACATGATTGTTACAGTCAGAGTTTAGACAGTAAGTAACATAGCAACGTGTTTGTAGATTGCCAACACTACAGGCTGTAATGTCTCTGTGAAGCCCCAAAGTCTTGAATATAAATAATCCAATGAATGAATTGTGTGACATGTAGGCTACATGAAGCAATACATTTGGAAACAATTTAAGAGGGAAATAAACTCAACTCTCATAATAAAATAATTCACCACTCTCATTTTCATAATAACTTTATATTTATAAATATTATTGGAGTTCATTTTTCATTTCATCATTTCATTTTGTTATTTCAAAAGTCAGTTTTTATGTCATGATGGCATTTTTCCCAATAGCACTCTCATTTCATGTCACATTTTATTTCATAATGTCACATTTTCCTCTAAAACTAGCAAGCTCAACAAACGCTACTAGCAACAAAGTTTGCGAAGCTATGCAAAGCTATGCCCAACTGCTTGCATGTTTTTCCTCTCCAAGACGGATACACACATTGAACGAGGAGAGGACATGCCTTAAAAGTGGGCTGGAGCTACATTATATGCTGTGTTACTGTCTCTGAGACATTTTTAAGATATGGGTCTGCTGTCAGGACACCACATTCGCGCAGCAGTAATGCATGCATAATTGCACAGAGACCTACTGTCTCAGGCTCAGGGGCAAATATGTACCTGCACCTCCACCCAGGATCTGTGGGCCTGGCCCCTGAAAGGATGAAACTGATGGACATAGGATTGCCCTTCAATGTTATTGACACAATACAAAGTGTCAGCATCAGCACAGGGGCTGTATGTGCTTAGGGAAAATAGATTTCCGGTTATCTCTGCATGCCGTGTGGGATGTAAGGGATAATGCCCTGGCTCTCATCCTCTGGTTGTATGTTTTATGAGGGGCATACTGCGTAAGAGACCAATGCGCAAAACTAGGGTCCCTCTGTGGGAACTGGCTCTGGTTTTAGAAGCTCTAGATCATGCGCTTTTTCAAACCAGTCTATATCGATATGCTCTCGTATAAGAAGATCTAATTATTGGCCCTATGTTCAGTGAAACACATGGGGATATACAGTACATACACATACATGTTGGTGTTAGTGATGCTGCCCCCTAATCCTGCATACATGCCTAAAGAGCCTGCCTTGTCATAAAGTATCATCTTTTGAACTGATCTTTTTCACCACCTGCACAATCTATGCCCAGTGCAGGTGTTGCGTTCAGAACTGATCGAACGCAAGAGGTACAAACAATGGACCAGCTTTTTGTCTGGTTAACCAACCCTGTTAAAGGGAAGGTACTTTCCAAAGAACACCTTTCTCATTAGGGTGTAGAGGCGATTTTGGGTGCTTATCCCGGTAAAGGCACACATATGGGGTCCTCTACAAGGAGCATGGCCCTTGGGTTCTTTTTAAAGGTGTAATGGTGGAGGACGTCTGTTCTGCTGCGAGCTGGGCTTCTCAATACACATTCATGAAATTTTATTGCCTGGACGTGACAGACCAGGATGTCACTCAGGCTTCTCTCAGCAAGAGAGTAATGTAGCCGACATCACTCTTACTGAAGGTATATCCCCATACAGATGTGTTGAGTACTGAGTGTACTGATAGAAAGGGAACTCAGGGTTATGCATTTGACTAATGTTCCCTGAGGGAGGAAACCGAGGTACAACACAGGTCAGCCCCTCACCCCTTTCAAAAGCAGTTTAGATTGAGGACAGACTGTGCAGGGTCTTTTGTAGCCACACCTTCTCCTGCCTGTGACGGTCTCATTTTTGTCTTTCTCTGTGAGCATCTTTCGATTCAAAAATCTCACATGACAACCTAGATTGTTAGCTGGATAGGTAGGTAGCACATGCAGCATTGTTGAGCTTAATAAATAAGAGGTTAGTTACTTTGTTTGTGTAAAGTATTTATTTACACCCTCTAGTTGGTTGATTCAGAGTTACTTGGAATTGTTGTTGCTATAGCAATTATTGAGCTTATTTGTTTAAGAGAAGTGGGGAGCAGTCAGAAAATGACTGTTGGGAAATGTGACATGAAATAAAAGGTGGCATTGGGGAAAATAAAAACAGACTTAGAGAATAAAGAAATCATATTTTATTGTAATGAGTTTCATTTGAATAATTCCTTAAATAATTTTGCAATTTGTTTGCTCATATATATATTTTACCTATTCAGATTATAGTTTTTTTTTAACAATGTCTCATTTATTTATTTAATATTGAACATTTTGAGGTTCCATAATGATGCAGTGAAAATAATAATGTAGAGGATCAACTTGACCACTGGTAGAAGCTCATAAGAAAAACGACCACAAATATGAACAAAAGTCAGGTATGGACTACTGTCAGGAGAGCATGTGTTCAGATTTTAATCCTGTCAGTCTAAAGCAGTAAGTGACCTGAATTTAGAGGGCTTTGATCTCTATTACAACGATAGCAAAAAGCACACAACAAGGCCATGTATTGTTCATGCTGGACAAAAAAAAAACTAAAAACAGATCAACACATGTGATTCATTCACAGTGTCCTTCATACCTTAAGTACTGGAGCAAGGAAGATGGAGACTCCAGTGAGAGCAAACACCAAAATGCCTGTCAGTCTTTGTTCTCTGTATATTGGACATTGATGAAATATACACAGGAGACTGTCAAGTCAATTTCACACGGCTTCTCTGTGTTTCAACTACAAATGACCTAGCAAAATGTTTCTCTCACACTGTGGCATTGCCAGTGGCAGCCTGAAGGGATTTGGTTACAGTTTTGATTTTTATCTCTATGTTGTGTGATTTTATTTTACTGTGGACCAACCTGACCCCGAGGAACTGAGGTTGCTCTCCGGGAGCGCTCGACTCACTCTCCATTTTCAGAGAGTCAATGTGGGCGATGGAGATGACAGTGGCAGCAACGTACCAGGGCAGGCCCATGAAGGAGCAGGCGGCCATCAGGACGCCCACCCAGAACAGATCCAGGTGGTATCCACAGCCTTTCTGCCAGGGAAACCAGACACACATCATTTAAAAAAAACACCTCTTGAGAATGGGATGATAATATGATAAAAATACAATTTTAAAAAACGCTCAAATGCTTGTGTTATGCCTAATTCTGAATTAAAGCTAGGGCAGGCAACATTGGAGAACTAGCAAGTGGCAGCTACACTTTGAAAGTATCCTGCTGAAAAAATCCCTTCAGACCTCCCACCAAAGCCACTCCCCCAAAAGAAATTTCCATGCGCAACAGAGTGTGTGCAGGTGGGTAGGTCAGCCAGCCAATCATTTCATTCAGACTGAATATAGCAGTAGCACACCTACCTTAAGTTTGTTCTCCTTGCGGTTAACAATGACGGCGCTGATCTGCTGGTCCATGAAGATGAGGATGGTGACCAAGAGGGCGGGGACAAAGCTGGCCAGATAAATCCACCAAGGGTTCTTACCAAATGGCATCACCAGCCAGCCACGATCCGGCCGAGTTGGCTAGAGGGAGATGAGTAGCAACTTTATTTCCACAACAGAGCAGTTCATCTCCAAAGTGGTACATGAGGTTAGATAAGATGGCGCCGCAGGCGGCTGCCTCTGGATTACGCTCTGTAGTGCTTTTTTGTGTTTTCTGCAGTCCCTCTGGTAACGTTTACTAGAGAAGAGATCTTAAATATTGGACTTTGAAGGAGTTTTCGCACTGCGCTTCCTTCTGTCCACCTTGCGAATGTCCGCTCTTTGGCCAACAAAATGGATGAACTGCTGCGCCTCAACAGAACTAACTCGGACTTCTGCAGATCTGCCACAGTCTGTTTTACCGAATTCTGGCTCACCACACACATCCAGAGCAGCGCACTTCACCCAGGGATTTAATCTCTTCCGTGCGGATCGCGTAACAGAGCTCATGGGAAAAACAAGGGGAGGCGGACTCTGTTTCTACATAAACGAAGGCTGGTGCACAGATGTCACAGTGTTGAAGAAATAATGCAGGCCTCACTTAGACATTATTCATGAACTGTAAACTTTTTAATTCACCGCAGGGGTTGTTCTCGTTTGTCCTGGTGGAGAAAAAACATCCAGACTCCCTGCTCGTTGTTCTCGGGGACACAGCAAACCTTAGTCATGACCTCTCAAAGTACAGACAGCACATTAAGTGTCCCACCAGGGACACTAACACACTGGACCACTGCTACACAACATTAAAAGACGCTTATTGCTCTGTCCCTGTGCAGCCTTAGGACTCTCTGATCACTGTCTGGTTCATCTTATTCCAACTTACCAGCAGCAACTGAACTCTGCCAAACCTGTTGTAAAGAGTGTGAAAAGATGGACCAATGAAGCTGGAGTTACAGGCCTGCTTTGACTGCACTGACTGGAGTGTTTTTGAGACTGCAGCCACTGACCTGGATGAACTTACTGACACTGTGACATCCATCAGTTTCTGTGAGGACATGTGTGTGCAGACTAAAACCTTCCGCACATACAACAATCAAAAACCCTGGTTCACAGTGAAACTCAAGCACCAAAAAGAGGAGCCCTTCAGAAGTGGATACGGAGTCCTGTATAACCAGGCCAGGAACACACTGACTAAAGAGATTAAAGCAGCAAAGAGGAGCTAAAAACTCTCCATCTCTGGACTAAATGACTACAGGCTGGTCGCCCTGACATCTGTAGTCATGAAGTCCTTTGAAAGACTGGTGTTGGCCCACCTGAAGGACATTACAGTCCCCTTGCTGGACCCCCTGCAGTTTGTCTACAGGGCTAACAGGTCAGTGAATGATGCAGTCAACTTGGGACTGCTTTACATCCTGCAACACCTCGATTCTCCAGGTATGCAAGGATCCTGTGGACTTCAGCTCGGCGTTTAGCACCAAACTCACCCAGCTCACTGTGCCAGCCTCCACCTGTCAGTGGATCACAAACTTCCTGACTGACAGGAGTCAGCAGGTGAGACTGGGGAACATCGCATCCAGCACCTGGACTATTAGCATTGGCGCGCCCCAGGGGTGTGTGCTCACCCCACTGCTCTTCTCCCTCTATACCAACGACTGCACCTCAGGAGACCCATCCTTCAAAGTTTGCTAATTACACAACGGTCATTGGCCTCATCCGGGACGGGGACGAGTCGGCCTACAGACGGGAGGTTGATCAGCTGGCTCTCTGGTGCAGCCAGAACAACCTGGAGCTTAACACGATCAAAACTGTGGAGATGATCATGGACTTCAGGAGGAGCCCCCCCACTCTGCCTCCCATCACCATTCTAAATAACATCCTTCAGGTTTCTGGGATGCACTATATTCCAGGACTTAAAGTGGGAGCCCAACACGGACACAATCATCAAGAAGGCCCAACAGAGGATGTACTTCCTACGCCAGCTCAGGAAGCTCAACCTGCCTAAGGAGCTGCTGATCCACTTCTACACAGCCATCATCCAGTCTATCCTCTGCACATCCATCACTGTCTGGTTTGGATCTGCCACCAAAAAGGACAGGAGCAGACTACAACGGACAGTCAGGACTGCAGAAAAGATCATCGGTGCCAACCTGCCCTCCTTTCAGGACTTATACATTTCCAGAGTAAACGGGCAGGAAACATCACTGCAGATCCATCTCACACCAGACACAACCTGTTCCAGCTTCTCCCCTCTGGTAGGCGCTACAGAGCACTGTATGCTAGAGTCTTGACTGAAAACTAAAGGGGACAGAGCGTTTGCTGTCAGGGCCCCGAGACTCTGGAACAGCCTGCCTGAGGAAATCAGGTCAGCTGAGTCAGTGAACTCTTTTAAGTCCCTTCTTAAAACATACTTTTATAGGAGAGCCTTTCCCAATCTTATTTGACTTTATTTTATCCCTTTTATTTTATTGTATTTTACTAATTTTATATTTTTCTTAAACGTGTATTTTAGTCTTTTCAATGTTTTCATGCTTTTATCTTGTATTGTTTTGTATTATTGTCTCTTGGGTATTATTGTCTTTACACTTGTTAAGGAACTTTGTAACTTGTTTTGGAAAAGTGCTCTACAAATAAAGATTATTATTATTATTATTATTATTACGCTAATACCAACAGACTCAGGAACAGTTTCTTCCACAAGCCATCACTCTGAGGAACAGCTGATTTCTGACTCACAGTGTCAGGAACAACTCCTGTGCAATAACCTAGTAACTCTGCTTCAAATCATTTATTCATCATTCTCTCGTTCTCTATTTCAGAGCTGTTCATACTGTATATTATATATATACACTGTATAGCAAATGCATGTATGTGTATGTGCACCTGTATATCTCTTCCACCTCCGACTTGTACATAATAATAATAATATATAATAATAATGATAATTTACTCCTGCGTCCTTTGCACTCTGCTCATTGCACTATTGTCTTTTTTTTAAATTGGTTTTGTTTATAGTGTGTATATGTGTGTTCTCTATACTGTAGCCTGTGTCCGATTTTATTATTGAATTATTGTATAGTAAGCACATCGTGAGCAATGTATAATCCTACAAATTCCTTGTATGTGTACACATACCTGGCAATAAAGCTGATTCTGATTCTGAACATTTTAGACAGAATAAGATAATTACAAGACATTTTCAGTCAGTATCTATCTAAAATTATCTATATTGTATCTATATAAACTAATTGTTCAACATTTTTCGGAAATACTTATTTGAGAAGATCAACACTCTCACATCTGTCCATTAAGTAGATGCTACAGTCAGGAAGCAGATAACAGTTACAGCTGCACTCTCTTCCAAGTATTAAAAAAAAAAAATCTGCCTACCAGCACAACATTCAGTTGCCACTTTATTAGGTACACCTGTAAAAATCTAATGCACTCTAACACAACGACACAGATTCTACCTTTACAAAGATGATAATGTTCAGTTTTTATTGACACTGTCAGATAGGTTTTCATTTCATATGACCACCACTACTTCAATAAGTACTGTGCTGCAAAAACTTTGTAAGAGCAGCTAATTTGTGATATAGTTCACTTATTTTGAAAGAGTTTGAAAATGACTTGCTGTACCTTAAATTCTGTGGGGACGATCAGCTTAGGGGTTTTGAGCCCCATCAACATATCAAGCCCAACGAACGTCATGATGGACATGAAGATAGAGAAGTCACTGATGAGTTTCCTCAACTGGAGCCACAGATGGTGAGAAACAAAAATGAGAAAAATAGGATAGTAAAAATGTATTTGCAGAACTAAAAGCAGTGACAAAATGTGGAAAACACTGAGCTGTGTACTTCTACTCAATTAACATTTGTAAATTGATGTGACTTTGTACAGTTATAACATACTGAAAAAACAATAAAGTCAAAGAAAAACAGAAAACGCTGCGATGTTATGTTTGGCGTGGAAATCAAGCTTCACTTGACTCAAAATATCATCCTTGTGTCTGGAAAAAGAAGGGATCCGTTTCTTTTGTCTGTTTGACTATCTACTTTCTTTTAGAGAGCACACACATGACAGATGTGAGCAGTGCCGTGTTGTTACCATGGAGGTTGTACCAACACAGCTATTCTATCAACAACAGGTCACTGCTTCAAAAAATTACAATAATTATCATTATATATTTATTTTACCAGGCAAGTTAATTAAGAACAGATTCTTATTTACAATAACTGCCTGATAGGAGAGAAAGGCTTCCTGTAGGAAATGGGAACAAGGATTAAATAAAAAACATAACATAAACAACAGACAGAAGACACAGGACAACATCACAGAACCAAAAACAAACCAGGTACAGAGACACCAAGAAACCAAATGAAAAGAATAAAAGTAAATTAAGTGGGCCGCCTGCCTGAGTCACACATTTTAGTGATTATCTGCTGGCCATTATGGGACGGATTTACTAACAAACGGAATAAAGAGTACTAAATTGCGTATGCATTCTAAAATATTGCACGTGTAATTGTAGAACCTGTTAGGGGTGATTAACTAAGAATTATTGCGTAAGTGACAACAGGTGCAAACACAATGGAGGTGGCACTATAAATGAGGGTTTCGCGTGTTTTAATGGTTTCCGCCATGGAGAGTCGGAAGGGAAAGCAGCCACTGTGTAAAAACCTTGGTTTGTTTCATTCAGTATGTCCCGAGTATGTGGAAATCGTATGTACCTGCCCATCCTGCCTGAGATTGCACTACTGCACTTTTGAAAGACATCATTCTCTGTGTACACCGTTAGTATGTGTTCACTATTTGCATTTAAATTCATCTGAAAGGTGCCTTGTGGAGTTTTTGACCACTAATGGTGCTATGGAACAATGTTTTTACAAACGAGTCCCTGTTTTGTTTGTTCCGTGCGCACAAGGACGCACATGCTCACAGGCAACTACGTGTTCCTGCTATTCCACTGATCAATAGTTGGTTGCAGTAATGGCAAAGACGCACAGCAATGCACCAACAAAGGCAGTGAACAAGAAGCAGCAAGCTAGAGAACCTGGATTAAAAAAAATTCAAAATGCTGTTGCAAATGTTTTATAAGGAAGTAAATGCAGTCAACATGTTTGGTAACGTGAAGGATACGCACAGTTAGCATCATGCAGGACCCACCTCTACCACCACTGTCTAAAAGCTGTTGCTACAGTCAACTAAAACTAAAATAAAAAACTAAAATACACTTCATCCTACATTAATATCATGTTTATGTCATCATCATGACTTGCTAATTTACTGATAAATTTCATAATGTTGCTCCTTTTCTTTTAATTTTTGCTTTCACTGGCATAGTTTGGCATGGCAGCTCATGCACTTCAGTGGTGGTTAGAACAATTCTCTCACTCTGACAGCTGCCTCGGGGTCTTTATGCTGGTCGCCTGACAAGGGGACATCCTGCGGTATAACACCTGACAGTCCAACATCACCAGCTGCATAATACTCTCTTGTTTATTTCTGTGGCTGTCACAACACCTTGGCCTCCAATCTATGAACTGCTTTGCTTTAGCGTCTGACTTCATGTCAAACCATTTGCTCTTTATTTCTGTCACAGTACAGCTCTAACAGCACATCACTGGCAGCTGTAGTCATATTTTCTCATTGTTTTGGATCCCAAATGTCACGAGTGATTGCCAAATGTGTTATCTTTTCATCTGCGGATTTTTAACAGCAGGACCTCTGTGGTCTCTTTTTACTATTTGGTAACATTTTTGTGAATAAAACTTTTTTTAAGATTTCATCCTGACTTGTTCCACTGCAGTTGCAGCTGAAATGAAGTTATTTTTAAAACAACAGCATTAGGCCACGTTCTACAGCGAGCCCTGCAGTCTCTGTGATTTCAGGGTTAGGCCATAAGAAATGGGCCAGTTTCATAGCCCATCTGTAGGCTATAATTGATTAAGTTAAGCTATTTTTCCAAAAGGTATGGAGCCAGGGTGAGGGTTAAAAGACTAAAGACTAAAAACAATTCCTAGATGAAAGTGGTAAATTTACAAGAACAAAGCTCAACAATTCCCTGAAATTAAAGTCCCAAAAATCCAAATCACTATGGTGTTTTCTTCTGAATACGCCCAATCCACAGCAAAGTCTCTAAAGTGCATGATAATATGATTGTGGGCTAAACTCACGAATATTTCCTCACTGCAAAATCCGATAGCAAAGTCTAATATAACTTTCCACTGCATGCATAATACATGAGGGATGTTGCAGCCTTGTAAAGTGAACATAAACGTATGACTATAATCAGAGATTATTCTGACAGTATACTACATCTTAATCATATTACACATAAAAGAAGTTCATAAAATCCCTGAGTTTGCTTGATAACCCTGACTTAACTCTGAGTAGGTTAAACTCCCTTCGTGGTACAGGGCCACAAGTAGCCTTACCAAGCAAATTGGGGCATTAGTTATGCTAATGAGCATATGCTCATGAACAAGTTTTTTTGAAAGTTTATGCAGTCACAAAGGTTTAGTGAGGCGGACTTGAAACGTACAGCCAATGTCACCTCAGTGAAGTTTAACATTAGAATACCAAAAAGTTCTTGCATGAGGCCCAGTTTGTTTTGGTGAGAAACACTGAATGTAATCATTGCTTTAGTTTGCTTACAAGAAGGCCCCATGGGAGAATCTTTTATTTGAACGAGATTTTAACTGAATCTGCAAGTATTGTGAGAACTTTGTTTTGTTAATTTAAAAAGGTCGATAGATAGATCGACAGATAGTTTAGTCACCTTAGTAGGGAAGTAGCGGCTGAACTTGAACTTCTTGAGGGTGACGGTCATGGAGTAGGTGCCAAAGAAGAGGATGAAGGACATGAGGGCCAGATCGGGGACATACTTGCAGGACTTTCCCACCAGAGAGCCTCCGTACTGCACACACTCCTTCTTGCTGAGCTGGCTCCAGTCCAGAGCTGTCACATTCAACTGGGATGGTGGGTGGCGGTGGTGGGGAGACAGGAGCGGATGAAGAAGAGTCAAGTGTTTTGACAAAGACGTAGAGGAAAATGTAAACACAGACAGAGTGAAAATTTGTCGTCACAGATGTGAAGTTATAATCCATGGAGGAGAGTGAGAGAGGATGATGGGATAGATGGTGAAAAACAAACAAGGGACAGAAAGAGGAGAGCAAAGTGACTTCATTGTCAGACTCAGTTGAAGCCTGGGTTGGTTGTAAACAAACCATTTTACTCTTTTCTAACAATGTTGTCATTTGGGCTTCCAAAAATCCCTGTAATTGATTCTGGGAAGAGCTGACCCTGTAAGCCTTTATCCTAAAATACAATGCGCCAAAATAGAGGCAAAAAATGAAAATTGAATGAAAACAAGCACTTACCCCAGAGACACTAGAGCTGTTATCTGGCATTGGAACTAAACCATTGAAGATCATTTCAGCCACTGTTTATGAATGGGAGAGAGACAGGGAGAGACAGCGACGTAATGAGACAGAAAATGAAGGGGGTGGGAGGAAAACAAAAGGGAAAGAAAAACAAATGCAAAATATAATGAGAATCCAGCTGCTGGACATTGAAGTGAGCACACCGAGGCCCGCGCGGACAAACAAAGAGGTACTCACTTGCAAGAGATGGCAGCCAAATTGTGTGTGCATGGCGAAAACAAACAAGAGACAAATCAGTTACAGAAACCAATGTCTATAGAAATGACTGTAAACCACTGCCAATGTTTAAATTAGTTAACAGATTAGTGAACATCTGGGAATGTGTAGGATGTAGGAATCTAATTAACATTTGATTTTCACTAAACCATGCAACCCCATGAAGAGTAGTTAAAATTGGTATTCATAATCCTGATAATCATCATAGACAGCAACGACAGCCCAGCTGAAACAGGATACAGATATTTGACATGTTGGAATTTTTAAAACATTTGATTCAATTCATTTTTTTTAACATAACACATAAGATTATCAGCATTGTCATCAAGATATGTTCTGAACAGTACATTGTTTAGTTGAAAGATAAACTTGTCTCCAGTGAACAAACTTTATGAATGACCCCAAACATACTGTATATTTGGCTTTTCTGTTCTGCAATATCATTTATCTGTAACAAGCTAATATTAACTAGCCTGCCTAATTTAATCTGGCTCAAGCACATGTTTGAGATATATAACTAGATAATAATGACTTGTTGACTATATATATCAATAAACAGGGACTGCAATGGATACATTTATTGTGTTTTCATCCTCTTGACGATTTGTGTATGTGCGACATTTCTGGCCAGAGGGGCCACTTTTATATTAAAGATCAATTAAATTAAATCTATCAATCAATCAGCACTGTCAGTGGATGCTTAACAGCATAGGAAATCAAAGAGACAAAAGAACAGTGAAGGGTACAGCTTCACCTGGGAGACTAACTGCTGTGTAGGAGAGCGTTTCATTAGTTAGCACGTGCTAAATGACAAACCTGTGCTTTTCCATGTTTAGCCCATCAACAGCTTCCACTTACATTACTGTCCCCCATTTTCCAATATATACCTGGAATTTTTAGATTGATGCAGTCACTAACCTCCATTAATTTCACTACTGTGCCAAAAGCAACTTTCAGAGACTTGAAAACTGGATTTAGATGGGTTATCTTAAAGCCCCTGAAAACGTCTCGTTTTTCTTGATAACATTAAATATTCATGACTAAATGAGCAGCATCCTTAGGTTTTATCTAAGAGTTGAACACTCAGAAGCTCTGAGATAACCTGCTTCATCAGGACTGTGTGGGTGTTGTTTGATCACATTTGATTTTGATTGAGATGCTTTTAATGTCTCTCTAATTGGTGTGCAAAAACATGTGACATCACCTTTTTCCAACTGAGCCCTGCCCACTTCAAACCGGTAAAGGAGCACAGACAAAAACACAAATACAGAAATAGCATTGTAATTGTACTACCGTCTGCAAAAAAACTGTGTGTTTATTTGTAGGATCCCAAAGCTCATAGCAGAGAGCTGATTCAGAGAACGTCTTTAGGGTCTTTAAGATCTAGTCAATTTATTTACTTAATCCATTTATTTATTTTGTCATCATTTTATCATAAAGCTGCAAGCTACATCCCAAGCTACAATATTAGCTGCTGAAAAACATTGCACTGACAAGCTACATCATGATGTAATCTTATCCAGAGGACAAGCAATGAGCAAATTATATTAGTAATTTTAGTAATTATAAGATATTTGGAATTTTGTCACTTCTTGCATTAAAACATTTGCTATTCTGCTACTCTCAGATCTTGAAGATATCCTTGAACGCAACGAAAGGGAAAGTTTTCAAATCTTCAGCTTGCAACTGTATTACCCCAGTTTAAAGAAAAAAATATATGCAGCTAAATGCTAGGTGATGGATTACTTACTGTTTCTGTGCTAACTCTGACCAAGTTGTTATCATAAATGACCTGGAATCAGTGGCAGGGAATTCATCCAGAAACGTATGCTGTATATGTATTGAATTGTTTTGTACATTTTACATTTGTTAAAACTCTTTTTTGTGAACTAATGTTTCTTAATAAATGGTTGCTAGTAATCTGTTTATTAGTGCCTAATTGGTAGAATCATTTGATTTTGAAAGATTTGGTCTCCAAAAAAAACTACGTTTACTAGTGAGAACTGGACTCTCTTCTCAGTTATGTATAGTTATAAAAAAATTACAATAAAGGGTTTTATAGACTGAATGCAGGTGGTTTTAGTCTTCTCTACAACCTGCCTGTGACGACAGTCTACCGAGCCCAAAAAGAGCCACATGTAGCCACACTCCTCCTTGTTGATAATCCCCCAGTATCTCCCTGAGTCAAGGGGTGAACTCACTCGGGTCTGGGGCCAGGCATTCGCACTTGTAGGCAGTGACGTAGTCGGGCTTGAAGTCGGTGTTGATGGGGTAATATTTGAAGGAGCCCACCATCTTCTTGATGGCGTCAGAGATGAAGATGAAGGAGATGAGGCTGGAGAAGCCCTCCTCAGTGAAACGCGTCATGTACTTGATGATGTAACTAGCATCTGTAGCTACCAGGAGGAAACACTGCAGGCAGGAATGGATGCCAATCCACAGACGCAGCTCCATGTAATCTATGTCGTTGTTCCTTTGGGAGTGAGAAGTCAGAGAAACATGGTGAATGCACTGGTGAAGGGAATTCATGTAATACAACCAACACAAACATAATATGCTGCACTTATATTATCTGTATTTAAGAGAACATTCAATTCAGTTTTATTTACATAGCACCAAATTGTAAGAAGTTGTCTCAGGGCACTTTTTATATACACTGCGTGCAAAATTATTAGGCAAGTAAGTATTCTGAATGAATGATTATTTCTATGCACATTTTCCATCTCTTTCTTTCCATATAAACTGGAATGCTCATTGCAGTTAAGCATTTTCAGGTGATATGTATTTGTGTAATGAGGGAAGATGTGGCGAAAGTCAAATGGGCCAAAAAAGAGATTTAACTGACACTGAAAAGTCAAAAATTTTACAAAATGCCTTCCAGATGGATACAACGCTCTTGAAATAGCTAAACTTTTGAGGCGTGACCACCGGACAATCAAACGTTTTGTTACGAATAGTCAACCGGGCTCGCAAAAAGCTCATGGTGAAGAAAAGGTTAACTGCAAAAGACTTGAGTAGAATTAAATGTGAAGCTACGAGGAACCCATTATGCTCCAGTGCCACCATATTCCCGAAGTGCAACCTACCTGGAGTAAATGATGACCTGGCCCCTTTCCTCACCTGACTTGAATCCTACTGACAACTTGCGGGCCTTTTTTAAATGTGAAATTTACAGTCAGGGAAGACAATCCACCTCTTTGAACAGCGTTTGGGAGGCTGTGGTTGCTGCTTCAGTGAAAGTTGATAGTGAACAGATGAAGAAACTGACAGACTCCATGGATGGAAGGCTCATCGCAGTTATTGAAAAGAAGGCTGGCTATGGTCACTAAATATTTTTGTAAGGCCAAAAATTTTATTTAATTTTATGTCGTTACACTTACTCTAAAAATTTTGAATAAACTAGTAATTTGATAGAAATTTTGGTAATTTAGTTAGCTAATAATTCTTCACACTTCTATATTCTCCTGAGCAAGACAAAATTCATGTTTCCTTAGTTCATTCAGGTTTGAGGTTTAATTATATATTTTGGATTGACTGAGAGCATTGTGTTTGTTCAATGATAAAAGGAATCCTGAAGAATACAATTTGCCTAATAATTATTTGCACAGTGTAGAGCAGGTCTAGACTGTACTCTTTATAAGCATACAGATAGGGTAAAAATATTTCACAAATACGATAACTAATCCCAACAAGTTTGACCTTTGACCTATCAAATTGCTCATGGGGTTAGTGTTCTGAAATGAGAATGGCAATATGAGAATACACAATCACCTAGTTGAGAAGAGTTTCGTTACACAAAAGTTTGGCGGGTACTCATTCATTACTGGTTGAAACGTCTTTATTTGTTATCAGTGAACTTCAAAGTTAATTTTTTTAATTGCCTTGAGATCAAGGATCAGAACCCAGTTAGACATTTTCCCACTTTCATCCAGATAAAGTAGCACTTTTTGTTCACCTAGCAATACAGACCATCAGTGAAAGTGGTTTAAATTTAAGCCTGAAGGGAAACGCTAGAAAAACTGACACGTGTAGACTCTGATAGACGCTACATGAGTAGCATTTAAAACAACTCTCTTCACTCACAGAAGCATGAAGAGGTACATACATAATAGAGCAGGAGATTCAGTAGTGTTTCTCTCTTTAATGGGATTATCAAATAATCCACTAATTGACAGTTAAGAGGATGTCTATAGTCTCTCACTACACTATTCCCACTATGTCTGTCTACTGCAAGAGCATTCAGCTCTAACAATGCTTACTTGCTGAATTCAAACAGGAGCTTTTCAAAGATGAGGATGGGTCCAGTGGAGCTGAGGATGATGAGGGGCTGACCGCTGAAGAGACAGAAGACAGAGCCAGCCAGAGCTGTACCCAGGAAACTCTCCATCACACCCTGTTGGAAGGATTTGGGGGAGGGGGGTGAAAATGGAATTGGGATAGAAAATTGTTGTGTTGATGAAGTCAGAAAATCCAACTTCAGATGAGACGAGAGGAAGAGAGGAATAATGATGAAACAAAGGAGAAGTGTGTGTGTGTGTGTGTGTGTGTGTGTGTGTGTGTGTGTGTGTGTGTGTGTGTGTGTGTGTGTGTGTGTGTGTGTCTGAGTGCATTACACATTAAACAAAGGGTCATGATGTTGTATTTCAGCTTGACAGGGAGGGAAGTGAATGAGTGCCAGGCAAAGCACTTTTCTGAAATGATTCCTCTGTGCATGTGTGTTTGTGTGTGAGTGTGTAGATGTTTGTGTTGGTGCAACGATAGTGCTACACAAATAACAAAAGGGAGACCTGATTGCACGTATAAACATTATTAGCTAAAATTACTCCAACTTCACAGTGCAATGAAGCCAGGCACTCACTCTGGCAAGGACAAGCACAACTGTTGAAACTTTGCGCGTATATACACAAGGATACCATATTCTACTTCAATTGTATATTGTGTGTATATTTTATATTTTTGATTCTGATGTTTCATTCTGCATTTATTGTTTTTCTTTTACTCTTTGCACCACACTACTCCCCTGTGCTGCTGTGCCAATTAGAATTTCCCCTACGGGGATCAATAAAGGAACATCTTAGCTTGTCTTATCTTAAGTTCATATTAGAGTGACATCACTGTTTTATGACAGAGCAGTAAAATGAAATGGAGGATGACGTGTTGTAGTCTTTCTCAGTTGTTCCAATATCCCAACACATTTGGATAATTGACAAGCTGAAGAAGATATTATGAGGACAAACTAAATTAAAAACAGGAAAACAGTGTCACTTTCTAAGACAAACTAGCTGTCCATAGGCAAACACAGTAAATACATCTTTTCTAACCTGATAAATATGACACACAAATTGCACTTGAGCTTCCTGGGCTGACACCAATTGATTTCAATCTACTGCTGCTACTTGCCTGTGCTTACAATTGGTTTGTTGTGGACTTCAAAGCCACGTTAAATATGAACTTGACTTGGCTCCAATAATAATCTAGAGTAACTGAGGCACACAACACATCTGACATAGCATCAAGGATCATGTATGTTTTTATAACTAATATGACTTTTTTTTTAATGTCATTGGAGGGGAAAATAGATACGTATGGATTGTAATGTAACTGACAGGTGCAATAAAATTGTGTTCTCCCAAATCATTGCTGCTGTAGCTCTTCATGTTTTCTGTTAAATGATTAGTTTGGCATTTTGTGACATAAGCTGTTATTTTTTTGGTAAATAACAAGTGACTGCAAAGACAGAATTAGTCATTTTTTTAGCATTATTTGGTCAGTTAAACTATTTAAATATCATGCCAGGTACTTCTTTAAAAGATTCTTGAAAATGACATAAAATGTTGTGCGATGGTGCAGAGCTAGAGACACAGCTTGCATAGAACCGTCTCTGTGTATAGCGCATACCTAGCTGATAAACCTACATAAATACCTAAAGTAATTTCACCTGTTTCCTAAGTTTGGCACTCTGTTTTACCTGGTAGTTGTCGGTAGCGTCACCAAGCAGGCCACCAAAGGTGATGGCGTTGGTGATGCAGCCCAAGTAGATGAAGAGCACAGCGGAGATGGACTGAATGTGGAAACCCTCATAGAAATCACTAGGCAGCCATGGCAATTTCCGCTTTAAGTCCAGGTACAGACCACCGCAGAAGCTATTGTACACGGACACACACAGTAGTCAGCATCACACACATTGCTTTCTCTAATGCAGGAGAATGACGAGCCTTCCAGTGAGTGGATGGGAAACTTATTTTAAAGCAATATCGAGTCATACATATATAGGCAGGAGAGGTCAGTGTTTGTGAAGTTTCTTTTCTACAACTTTCTACAACCCTCTGCATTGTGTTTATTATTAAATAAAGAGACTTTGCTCACTGGTGGAACCTAGAAAAAAAATTTGCATTTCCATAATGCAACTTGTACCAATCAAAGGTTTCGAGAGAAAAAAAAAGATCACTGCATTGGATCAGGATAAAATCACTTTCATGTATACTACATTTTCTTCTGCAAAACAAAACAAGAGGTGGAACATTTGGTTGTATTGATCCTGTTGTTTTTGGCACAGTTGAAACTGCCGGTCCAACACTGCTAACTGACCAAATTTAATCTTTTTATGCTCAGCTAAAGTGCTCATTAGGGAGTGTCTACATCTTTTGGGGAGTTGAATTGTACCTAAATAATTTGCCCACTTTTCCACATTGTGATTAATTCATCTTAAAATTTACTTTCCATATGCCAGAGTCAGTTTAATCCAAACCTTTTGGCAGTTTGCCATGTGGCCTGGACTACTTACCGTCCAGTGAATGCCAGCTCCTCCCCCAGCTCATGTTGCACTGGCATTTCCTCATCCTCAGCCAGGCCTCCTCCTCCTCCCCCAGCTGTACCGTTCATCTGCCCCAGCTCGTTTAAGGAAAACACTGACTTCCTGCAGAAAAGATACATTCGGCACAGATGGGAGTAAATATGGAATTCATTTATGTTTGTTTATTAAAGGGCTACTCCATGATGTTGTAAGTGCTGTTTCAGAGGCTTTTCATCCCTGAACGCTTTGACTGGTGCTTGCTGATATGGAGACCTTGTTGCACTCTGCGTAAAGCTCTAAGGAAACTATTTATCAGCTGATTTTAAGTGAACGTTTAGCATATTGCTCTTTGTGCCACAGACAAATAAGCCGAGAGCTTAATGTGCATTACTGAAGTAGATAATAAAACTCTGACCTTTTGTCAGCCGAGGTGACTTTCTTGGGTGGCTCAATGCGGATTTTGGGATCCCATTCTCCAGGTGGAAGCACAATCACCTCATCCAAAAACTCATCGATGCCTGCGATGAGGTCCTCCCGATCTCTGGCCTTGTAAGCTACATCACTGAAGAGCTGGGAGGGGAGAGAGATAAAGGGAGTGGATTTCAGCATTTCACTTGTCTTATATCATGGTGATAGTGATCAGTATGTACTGCTCTAATAATGCTTGGGGCTTGACCATCCTCTCTGATGGCCTCTGGAGACTTGTTAAACATAGAATGTGGAAACTTTATTGATATTTTGACTCTAGCTGGATTACATTAAAAAAACAACTGTCAGTCAGTAACTAATCATGCCCTAGAAACACTGTGAGTGAAGTGCAGTTCTAGGTCTGTAAATGGTCATTGCACACTACTCAGATCGCAGGTCATTAGGACAGTAAACCAGAAAAACAGCACAAACCAAACTGCAATAAACTAAATAAAGTGAAACTTTTTCAAATTAAAAGCAGCAGGAATCAGCAGCCAGCGAAGACGGAAAGATTTCCCCCCCTAAGTGTGTTATGTGGCACCTTCATTGATTTGCTCCCTTACACACAAACAGCTTAAATTGAATCAGTGGATGTGTTGGAGCCATGCTCTATGCTGCCTAAGTTTCTAGAATGTCTTAAATCCAGCCAATAACTGGATATGGAATTTAAAGGCTTACTGAATTACAAATACTACTGTGAAATGATTTAATGAGAAAACGTTTTACAATTAAAGATGGTGTTCTTTGGTTTCCTCCATACAGATAATGTGATCACCCTAACCAATTTTGTGACTGAATAGATGAGGATACGTTAGCACGCAGCCATGCTAAAACAACAAACAACCGTCTCAGAGAGGCTGTACTTGGGCTAAATGCTTATGTCAGAGTGCTAGTGTTGTGTCGTTCAAAGAACGTTTCGTTCATTTGACCTGATCTCGTATGTGACTCAGGAGAAACGGGTTGTCTCAGTGAGTAATTCGTTCATTTTCACGCATGCGTGAATAGTCTTGGACTCTTACGTTCACTCGTGACACAGCAGCTGCAAGGTCTCCGTCAGCACAGGAAACAGAATTGATTAGTTCACGACTCTCGACTGTGGTTCTCTGGGTTTGAGTCGTTCATTTGTCACGTGAAAGCTGGCTACAGGGCTGTGGTAAGCAGGCAGCACAGGAAACAGAATTGATTAGTTCAGGACCTATAACTGTGGTTCTCTGGGTTTGAGTTGTTCATTTTTCACGTGACATCTCGGCTACTGTGGAGCAGGAATGAACTAATCATTCACATGGGTCCTCCTCGGAGTCTGTCTTCACTCGGCAGGCTGACTTACTGCCAGCACTGGGGAATGAGAGGCAAGTCTGTTGTCAGGTAACAGTCACTGGACTGACATATATGTAATATCTATTTTGATAACTTTGTGACATTTAATAAAGCATAACGTTATTACAGCGCAGCTACATTGGGCTAAGTTATAGTTTTAACACAGCCGCACCGTAACTTTAGTGCTGCTAGTGTTTACAGACAACAGCTGATGAGAGTTGTTCTGGGTCTGCTCCACTTCAGAGCCCTGACAGAGTTCTACCTGGAGCTGAATTACCACAGAGGTCGTCTCCTCCAAAACAAACGGACCCGGACATTAAACCATTAAAACACAGCCACATAGCAACGTTAACGTTAGCCCTGTGGTTTGTTTACAGCTAACAGCTGATCCGGTCTGCCAGAGAACGCAACGTAGCTAGCCGTATTGTTGTTTCACCACTCTTCACTGGTGAACAGCCTGCAGTGTTTGAGATTATTATTAAATCTGTTAAATTTTAAAGAGTGTGTTTTATTCATCTAGTGTGTTTTACTCATGGATAGGCATTAGGCTGCTGTATGAATGAGCACTTTAGAGATATAGTATAGTAATTATAATTATATATATATATATATATATATATATATATATATATATGGCTGGTCTGGTAGTATACTCAGGAAAGATTGTGAAAATGGACAGATTTAGCCGGAGTAGTGGCTTAAGTGAATATTGACAACATATTTCTGTGGTTTTTACTTGGTTTGAATTTGGTTGTGGCTCCATGGGGCTTTATAGGACCATGATCAGAAAGATCAAGAGGTGAATTTGTGCATTACTTTGTCAATTAAAGCAACCCAGGCAGCCCTCTGCGCTGTTTTTTTTTTTAAATCACCCACTAGAGGGCTGCAGCACTGCAATAACCGGCCAAGTTAAAATGAACGAAATGACACAATAGATTAGATAGATAGATAGATTAGTTCATTTTAATGAACGAGATTTGGTGACTCGAGTGTTTCAAAAGAGTTACTTTTCCCATCACTACAGAGTGCTAACATAATCCCCACGCTTAAAATTCACCATCTTAGCTTAGCGTGTCATCATGCTAACATTTGCTACAGTTATTACCACAACTATTACAATTCATTCTGAAGCGAACATGAATGTCTGATTCAAATTTCATGGTAATCCATTTGCATTTCCTTGTATGTGCACACACACTTGGCCAATCAAGCTGATTCTGATTCTCATGGTGCCACTAGATAAAAAGTGTGGGGATCATGAACCTCATTAGAACTGACTCTCTGGGCACCATGAATCAGAGATGGGGACTCGAGTTAGAGACTCGGACTCGTCCTCAAAAGACTTCAGACTCGAGGTGCGGGACTATAGAGGACAACAAAGAGAGGCAGCTGCTCCGCCATTCATCATAAACTTTGGCTTTAAAACCTCATACAACAAGACCCAAACAAAGAAGCGCTGAATGTAAAATAGGTTAGTAACCTGAGGTGAGTAAATGTTTAGCTCAGCATTGGCTGTGCTGACTTACAGTAGTTTATAAGCTGTCATTAATTGCATTGCACATTACAAGGTTGTGCTCTGTAAATGAAAAACAGGTTACAGCTTTATTGTAGACCATTTAACTTTACAGTTTTATTTAGTTTATACTGGGTTTGAGAGTCAACAGGGTTTGTTGACTTACAGTAGTTTATAAGCTGTCATTAATTGTAGACACATTGTACATTAGGCTACACGGTTGTGCTCTGTAAGTTAAAAACAGGTTACAGGTTTATTGTTGATTATGCAACGTCACAGTTTTATTTAGTTAATGTTAAAGTGGGTTTAAGAGTCTGGGGAGTGTTCTGACTTACAGTATTTAATAAGACGTCAATAATTGCATTGCACATTATATGGTTGTGCTCTGTAAGTTAAAAACAGGTTACAGTTTATTGATTTGAGAGTCAGGAGGATGTGTTGACTTACAGTAGTTTATAAGCTGTCAATAATTGCATTGCACATTACATGGTTGTGCTCTGTAAAGGTTACAGTTACAGTATTCCTTATAGCTATGCAGTTTTATTAGCAACCTGCATTGAACGCAGCAGGTGATACAACATTCGTAATAACCACGAGAGACTTGACTTGGACTCTAGATCACAGACTTGAGACTTGACTTGGACTCTAGATCAGAGACTTGTGAGCATCTCTGCCAAGAATATCTGTACAATATTTCATAGCAATCAGTCTGGACCAAAATGGTGGCCAACTGACAGACTGGTATTACCGTCCCCAGAGCCACGCAGCTAATTTAGCTAAAAAACAGTGTTACTATAGGTGCTACCTGCATTGTTGAGTATATCAGAACAATTATTTTAAACTGTGCAACAAAATCAAATTCTAAAAATAATCTGCTCTTGAATCTGACCTAACGGAGGTAGGGTGGTGCTGAGGTGTAAGAGGGAATATTTAACTCCTGTTAAGATGCCAGATTATAAAAGAGGTCAACCTATGATTACCAATCAGTGTTTGATTGTGGCTGGTAAACACATATTCTAACTGTGGCTCTTGTCTGAAAGTTCAATATAAATGAACTATTATTTATTTACAACTTGTATCTGTTGAAATAGCACATTTAGCTTTGTGCTTAGAAATATAGGAATAACACTACCATTAACAAGCAATGGGAGACTTATTATCCCTATAGAACCCTGCTCCTCACTGATGCCTAATAATCAGCATCACTTCTGCGTGTCATTTAAACACAATAGGTATCCCAGTAGATGGACAGGCTGCAGGACTGTCCATCTACATTTTTAGCTTATACTCTCGCTCACAGCCTTTACAGAAATTGACACTTTGTGTTCCCACAGGTTTACTGAGACAGTGTTAGTGTCTAATAAGGAATGCATGTCATGGAAACATTTTTACATCACACTAACAGACACTTACATCATCCACCATTAGGGTTGCTATGGCTCGGCCGATCTCATTATACGACTTGGCCTTTCCTTGGGGTCCCAAGAGAATAAACAGGAATCTGTATAGTGATGAGACAAGCGTGAGGTATGGGCTGCAATGGCAGGTGTCTGTGAAAAGGGCTTTGCTGAGCAAGGGTGAAGAAGCGAAAGACAGTGCAGATCATTTCACCTGGTGGGAACAGGGACCTCGGTCAGACCTCCTAGTGTTGTAGCTTGAGCCAGGCGGACAAAGGCTACGAAGGGTTTGTTAAGGAAATCCACTTCACCCACCAAGACGTTGGATGCCTCTGCATCTCTGGGGATCTTCTTCATGAATTTATTCTTTAGCTACAGAAAGTGGAGGGACAAAGAGAGAACATGGTGAGACATCATCTTTTACTAGTAATGTTGTTACCATTCCTAGGGGACATTTCACATTTCATATTTTATGGGGTTTTCTTTCCTTTTATCCTTTGCGGCATTCATTTTCCTTTTATATTTGTAAATGTTTCATATTTTGAGTCATAGGTGTTCTAATTTACGTTTTCAACTTCAACTGATTTGATAGTCAATCATTTTTTAAAAGCGGAAATAGTAAAGATTTACTGGTTGCAGCCTCTAAAATGTGAGGATTTGCTGCTTTTCTTTGTCATATGTGATAGTAGGGTGAATATACTGCAGTAATAACAGCGCTTTAAATATGTTATCTTAGGCTCTGGGAAGTTATTATTATAAGTTATTATTTTCTGACATTTTCGAGAAAAAAACAATCAAGAAAATAACTCCCCAATGAATCGATTGTGAAAATAATTGATAGTTGCAACCTAACATGTGTTTATTCTTTCCGTTTTTGCGGCTGCAATGACCAGATTTCCCTACAGGGATCATTAAAGTTTCATCTTCTCAACAGTCTGTCGAAACCTGCCAGATTAGTCTACTGTTACATCAGCAGAAGTTTCCAAAATAACAACCCTGTGTTGTTCCATGAACATTAAACCTCAAGAAACATCAAATCTATGCAGACATAACTAGGGTTGACACCCGTCCCTTATTTTTCTGTATTGAAGGTGGCAACCCTAGACATAGCTATGACTGAAAGAGGTGCGGCAAGCGAATCAGACTTGTGTGACTGCATGTAAAAGGTGTGGCAGGAACAGAAAAGGACGGCAGCACAGAAACACTCAATAAAGCAGAGCCGTGCCAATAACCCTCAGCCCGAATCTGTGGCTACATGTGAGGGCCAAACACGCGGACTGGACAATGGGATCCATGTTTATTATCGACACAGACAATGTAGCACACACAAAAGTAACAAACTATCAGTTGTCCATTGTCACATGTGGCCTACTGTAAACCTGTAAATACAGTCTGAACATCCACTGAACCACTCATAACTGAGGTACTTAAAACAGGACAACCAGTACTCATCCTAATAGTTGCTCTAACAAATAAAGTTCATAGCCCACATCACACACTTCTAAACACATTCTCTTCATTTATGTTTGTACATTAGTCATCGCTGTGAATGACACTTAATCCTGACCTGTCTGTTATAAAGCCCAGTAGCCTAATCCAAGCAACAACAGCATCAGTCCAAGCATGTATCACCGGGTTTAAGCCGCATTATTACATCTGCCCCACAAATGAGTGAGTTATGTATTTGCACGCTTCCTCTATCACTAGCTGTCACCTTCACAAGCAATTGCAATGAAAGACTGATGACACTTAGGACAGAGCTGGCTCTCACCACTCCAGCGAACACCAACGCCTTACTGAGACATGAGATATACGTAATCTCCACAATAATGGAAAGCAACACTGTGGAAAATGAGTATACACCCCAGATAAAGCATTCCACTCTGATAAATCGACATTTTGCTGTTTTGAAATATAGGAACATCAATTTGGCTATTTGTAAGGATAAAGCCTGTAAATATCAAAACGTGTTTGCTCTGATGAAATGTTGATTTTGAGGTTGTAAATCTTGTTACCTCACTGAATATAACTATCTAATGCTTAAGTTGGTAAAGGCATATGCAGAAGATTGAAGTAAGTCACCTGGTCTGTGCTGGGAGAATCTGCAATATCATTCATACTCCTACTCTGGGCGTGACCTGGAGTGCAAAACAACAACAGCAAAAGGTTAGAACATTTTCATTATATGCTATATATTGTAGATCATTCATAACAGACATTGCTGCCTGTCAAATAATCTAATTTTTGTAGACCGGTTCAAGCAAGGATGGCACACATACCACATTATGATATATAAGACAATATGTGACTAAGCAGTGAGGGAGTAATGCCTCCAGATGGAAACTTGAAAATCAATCAATAAACCATAAAGAGTGAAACTGGTCCCTCTGACGCACAAATCACCCACTTAGTTTTAAGATGCCAAATGAAGACGGGAAGCTCTGGGAAAATCCAAAGACAACAGTTTCATTACACTAATTTGTTGAGATGGCAATCGTGTCTTACTGAAGGCCAAACCACTTCATTTTTTCATCAGTTGTTACTTCTAATACGTTAGAGTGAGCACTATTTGAATTTTCAGGACTTTAATAACGCCTATTAATTCCAGCAGAGTTGAATGGCTCATTGGCTCAACAACAACAAATCAACCTGCCTTATACTGGCCTTTGAGTAAAGGAGAACAAAGAATTGATTTTGTGCAGTAAATGCCATCCACCTCTGATAGACAGAGGTTTGTTCCTGACTAGAGTTAGTCAATATATCCATATGATTCTTGTATTAATATCTAACCAAAAATGATTGTGTAGTGATTTAAGAGTCACTGTATAGACGTCCACAGTCTCTGTGTCAAAGCTGCTGGGAATCAATCCGTTCTAGAGTTCTGTGATGATATAAATGTTGTTTCAGAGGCTTACCAGCCCAACAAGACATGTGAAAATGGTTAAGAAATATAATCTGTATCTGCCATCAAAAAACAAAACAAACCAAGGCTTTTCAGCAATCAAAACCCAAATAATAGGAAGAGAGGAAGAGAGAGAGAGGTGTTTTGGCCATAATGCACAGCCATGCATGTGAGTTGAAACCACAAACTGTGGACACATAGACAGGCACTCACGCAGGCGACCATAGTTGGCAGGCTGCTGTTTCATTCGGAGGTCCTCCGAGGATCGGTTAACGTTGACCATTGACCCCGGACTTGGCCTTGGACCCAGTCCACCTCGGGGCCCTATATTTCGATCTGGAAAGGGAAAGGAAACCGAAACAGACACAACCAGTTACAGAGCGGTCGGAGGTGATGCTTTATGATTTATCTAGCAGTTTGTGCCCTGCCCGGATGAGATGAGGAAATGCTACAGCGGTAATTAACTCATCAAACATTAATACATCCCCTGTGGAGGATATGAGCCTTGTTGACTGCAGGAGTGTGTTCATTCATTTACCAAGTGAGTCAAATATCTGCATAATGAATTTCGCAGAGGCTGCAAAATTGTACGTGGAACGAGAATAGACCAATCATTGATAAAAAAAATAAATGCTATATCTGCAGGGAGTGTCATTTCATGGATGGCATGTCATGATACATGCAGTCCAACATTTTTCTACTTTTATCAATCATGGATATAATTTAAAAGAAACACAGCGCTGTCTGGTAACCTGATAATTCTTATTTTGTCACTGCTTTCGATCAGTAAAAACTACCATCCTAGAGGGAATAGTGTTCCAATGATTCCCTTTTATTGTTTCTTAGATCAAGCTAGAAATCAGCAGTCTGTGAGGCCTGTTTATCTTAACCTTTTCAGGAAATTCTCTAAATTGCTTTTAAAATAAGTGTGAGCCCTGCACTTGTTTTTTCTCAGCCAGTTTCTTTACTGCAGGCTGCAGAGAAGTTAGTTCTGAGCTTGAGGCCATCAAGTCCAAGCATTTGCGGTACTTGGACAGCATGTGGAGGACACAGCTGAATCCCTGCTCAATGAGATATGGAGTTGGAAAATCAAGAAAGAGAAGCCTGGTCTTCTCCCAGAGAGCTGGGTAAAGCTGGGCATGTTGTTTAAAGCTTATAGGAGGAATGAGTAGGTGTACAAAAATAATCCCTCTTAATCATCACTTATGACCCACTAGAAGTGTGGCAGTGTCTGTATCTGCAGAGACCCAGCCCTCTTCCTGTATTTTCTTATTTTCTTGCTGTTTATGAGATGTTTCAAAGCGTCAGCCTATGGGCAGTGGGTGTGTCGCCCCCAGCCAATCACAATGCGCAGTGTGTGAGGTCAGGTCTCATAACGAGCAGGTTACATCGCTGTCTCCGTCGCTGTCCTCTGCTCTCTGTCTGTGTCATGGATGTATAAAGAGCTGCAGGCCTGTTTGACCAAGAGCAGGTCAACACACACACATACACACACACACACACAGACACAGAATAGAGAGGCCGCAGCAGACAGGATGAGGCCTGTGCTTCGGCTGCATTCACACAAAACACTGCTAGCTCCTTCAGCAGGGTTGTGCGGGGGTTTGGCCATGCTATTTCTGCTTTAAAATGTAAACGTTGTGAAACACCCCAAAATTAACATTTTATTTTTCAGATTCACTGCTTCATTCACTCACTCAACTCACTCGCTCGACCACCGCTGCTCTCTCTCGTTGAGTTTGGGAGTAGGGGCCACTTTCTGTGTTTACAAACAGCAACCGACAAATCCTACTCATTCTGTGTCACCAAAAAACGCCTCGGCACCCCCCTTTAAAATATATTGCTTCCATCATCCCCCTACCTCCTCTGATCGCCCTGTTGAGAAACACTAAGCTAGAGGATCATTTCCGCTGGCTAAAGAACTGGACACTCACTGGAGCTGGACTTGCCAATGTCGGCTAGCGAGCGGTGGATTGGCTTCTTGGTCTGGTGTCGATGTTTCCTCAGCAGGACAAAACTGATCTTCTCTCTCAGATCAGGAGATATCATGCCTTCCTCTATCTGCCTCTCAATGATGTCATCTGGAAAAGGAAACATTTATATTTGACATGTGGAAATTTGACACAGGGATCCAGTATTCCCAATTTGGCATATCACCACATTGTCAGAAACATAGTAAAGAATCAAACAATAAAAACAACATAACCAAGCATAAGCAACTTCTGAAAGACAGTCAAATAATCAGTGAGTAAAAGATGAGCAATAATGGACCTTAAAACACAAGTTTCCACTTGTTTTAGATAGCACATAGAGAGACAAAGGCCAGCTTGAATAGGAGTCTTCAAATGTTTTTAAAGGCATCAGCAGATACCGCAAAACATATAAGGGATGAGCATTCCACAGTGTCGAAGCCACCACTTTATATGCACGATCACCTTTTGTTTTTAGTCAAGCACACAGAACAACTAGTAAGCCCTGGTTTAAGACCTAAGTGACCCCAGTGGTGATATAGGAGTGAAGCAGGTCAGATCTGTAACCAGGTGCATGACCATGCAGGGCTCTATATGTGAAAACGAGAACCTTACACTGAATCCTGAACCTGACGGGTAGCCATTTGTAGACGGTGCAGAGACGACTTGCTGAGGCAGGTGAAAAGGTAATTGTAGTAGTCTGATCGGCATGGTATGAATGTATGCAAGAACATCTCTACTTCTGGTTTTGAACAACAGGTTTGACTGTGCTGGCTTGATATCCAGCCAGGGTCACATCACCACGTCACCAGGGTCCATTAGAGCAATAGACAGTGTTTGTGCATCTGTATGAATCTGTAGACTTGGTATTGCATGACTGGTTATTATCATCATCATGATTTGCTGTACAACTTCCTCACAGCAAACAGGCATTTGCTTAGAACAGTTAATAACCAAGGAGTCTAGCCAGTCACTAACACTAATAACAGCTCGATAAAAAAAAAAAAAGAAGCAAGCATAACTAAGAGTATGGGTGACAAGGACAAATGTTGTATAATGGGCAAGGTCCCGTTCAGATGCCTAACTGGGAAAAAGACTGGGAAACTCTGTAACTGTTGTCATTGATTCTTTTTCTGTGGATTGTCTAAATGATTGATTGATCTCGTGTTAAGATGGCTCACAAAGATACTAAAACGAATAGCCCTGGATCAGGGGAGGGGCCTATAGAGAATGCTTATGTACAGGGTCCAGATTTTTGTGCGATGCCCCTGCATAAGCAAAATTAAACTTGTGGTTAATTTTACACCGGACTCCATAGAAATGGGACATTTGTTGACGTCATTTCACAGTCGGAGCATATAGAGAGCAAAGATCTTCAAAACATGTTACTATAATGCACTTTTGGAGTTTTGTAGGGAGTTTAACCTGTGCAGTTCACCACTAAACTAGTTTGGTTAGCTAACATGATACCATGTTAGAAGCTAACATTAGGTATACACAAAATGAAGCCGAAATGAGCCTCAGTGGCTGAACAGAACAGATATTAACAGTGACTACTGAATTCCAACACAATGAGAAACGCAATTATCAGAAAAGGACTAAACATCTCACCAACTATCTGAGGCATTGAGTAGCCTTCCAGGTCCAGCAGCACTGTTCCCGCCTGGAGACACGTCCTGAGCTCAAAAAGGCTATGTAGGGATAGCGTGGACACGTGTGGTTTACTCCACCTTTCTCCCCCCTCCTCCACCTTCTCTTCGAACTTCACCCACCTGAAGGCAGCAGAACCCGCAGAGAGAAGGGAAAGGTGAGGAATACGCAACTGTTGAGAGTTCTTTGAGTTTGGCACTTCAGCTCTGCTGGTGGTGCCCACTGCTCAGTAGATGTAGCGCTGGCAGCACCCAGGCATGACGCTATCAATATCAGGCAAGCAAAAGGGCAGAGACCTCGGTTCACTCACAGATGCACAGTATACTGCTCAGTGCTGTGGCTTGTATTGCTATGTATGTCAAATTATCACTTTTCTGACCTATTCCAGCACCAAAAACTCCTTTGCCAACTATTTACACTTCGGTTGTTGTGATTTGAGGGTTCGTTTATCATTTATAGATCTCCAAATTTAAATCTTGTGCAAAAGCAAAGCAACATAACACTAGAACAACTGTATATTTGAGCAGTAGAAGCGTGACTGTGCCTGCATTTGTCTGTGTGTGTGTTTGTGATGGAGTCATGCACCTGGCGGACTCCTTCCACTCCAGCTCGTCTCCTTCTCGCTGTAGAGTGTCCATCTCAGTGAAGAGTGTCGGCGTGGGCATGTCATCGTCTTCATTCAAGATGTAACGTAGCCGCTCTGCCGCCGGAGACACTTGATGGAATGAAAGAATGTTTGAGTTTAGAGTTTTACAATTTATAATCATTTTATGGAGTTTTAACAGGCTTCAAGGGCCTGAGGATTTTAAAATAAAAACTAACTATGAAGAAACAAATCTGTGTGTGTGTGTAACTTTCTTTCTGTTTGTATGTCTGTCCTGATTTTTTGAACACCTGTTCATCTGATCGACTTCATGCTTGGTAGGTGTATTCCTGAAGACTCAGAATTGTCGAATTTGGTGCAATTTGGCCAGATGATGGCGTTATAACAACAAACTTTACATTCCAGCCTGTAACTTTTGAACAGTACGTCTCAGAAACAAAATTGTCTGTGGGATCAGATATATCGATCCACATAAGCCATGCACACTTGAGTCTAGATCAATGTCCAAATCACACTCCTCCTACACATTTTGAGCAATAGTCACTTAATTTCAGATTTTTCAAGCACGCTTCAAGCAGCACTTCTGGGGACCAAGCAATCAACCTGATCCAAACAGGCACGGGTTCCAAATGGGCAACCACTCAGAATGGCCATGCCAAGACAGGGCACTGCACTAGTCAACAAAAAGTAATTACTTTTGGCTTTATGTGCCCTGAGGCTCAGAGCTGTAGCCTTGTAAGACGACAGCTTCAAACAAACAGGATCTCCCTTTTCATTTGCTGAGAGTTCAAGCAGACGTGTAACTGAAAAGTGATCTCCAATATGAATCAAGAGACATGAATTTCTACCTATAAATCTTTTCACTTACGCTTCGTTTACAACCAGCTGCAGGCTGTTGTATGTCATCCCATGTATTTCCACTACTGTACCAGCATTAATGACTGCAGAATTGTAACCTACATTCCAATCACATATACCTGATTATAGATATTCAATCATGCCCTCCTGTACTTGTAGGTTAAAGTGGACCCCATGTTCATTCTTGGGGCTGCAGGGGATTGAGCTGTCAATTGGCCATAATGCTGCCGACCTATTGACTGAGCTGTATATTCATTATTTCACTCGGGAAGTGTCAACTATATTGAACCACTGTATTGACAACAATCAAAAACCAATCATCCATCATTGATGGTTTTGCATGATGTATAAGTATTCAGCATTAATTCTGACCAAATCCCCAACTCCGTTTGCAGAAATGCACCCCAAACTTCCACGAACCTCCACCATACTTCACTGTAGCCTGCATACACTTATTCTTGTACTGCCCTCCAGCCCTTTGGTGAACAAACTGCCCTCTGCTACAGCCAGATGTTTATGATTCATCAGTTTAGATCACCAGCTGCCATTGTTCTGCACCCCAGTTCCAGTGTTACAATGTAAGCAAGCCTTTCATGAAGTTCACTTCTGACTAGACTTTTCCAGAGAGTAGCTGGTGTACCAGGGTCCCAATGTTTTCTGCAGCTCTGAGCTGATGGCACTGCTGGAAATCGTCCGATTGCGAAGGGAAGTAAGCATGATGTGTCTTTTATCTGCTGCAGTAAGTTTCTTTGGCCGACCACTGCGTCTACGATCCTCAGCATTTCCCGTTTCTTTGTGCTTCTTCAAAAGAGCTTGGACAGGACATCTGGAAACCCCTGTCTGCCTTGAAATGGCTGCCTGGGAGAGACCTTGCTGACGCAGTATAACTACCTTGTGTCTTGTTTCTGCGCTCAGTCTTGCCTTGTTAGCTGAGTTTGCCTGTTCCTTACTCAGTTGCATTCCTCCAACACAGCTGTCTCTATTTCAGTTAATGATTGTGTTTCAACCTACATAAGCCCTGACTTTGTACAAGTAAACCTAGTAGAATTGATGCTGTTTTGAAGGCAAAGGTTGGTCAAATATAGATTGGATTTAGATTTTCCTTCTGTTCACTCATTTTGTATTTTGTTAATTGATAAACATAAACTATTAACATGTGTGTTTTTGAAAGCATTCTTACTTTACATCATTATTTCACACTGAGACCTTTGCCAGACATTTTAAATAAAACTGACTATCCAAGTAAAATAGATGTGGAGAGTCCATCTTACTTCATTCTTACTCTTAGAATGAGGATTATCTATTTTCCTTCCAACAGTATGCTCTCTAAGTACTTTCCCCTCTCTGGGCACACACATTTTCTCCTGTTGTTGTCTTGTACATCTTAATCGTCCCTGCTATAATCCTCCCACTGGTAATGGCACCATATGCATTATTGATATTCATGTACTGAAGCCCACACACTCCAAAACACTGTATTTGTGTGTGCATAAAGTCCAGACAAACACCTCTGCTGCTTTACCACTGATTGTACCACATCAATTTTGCAAAGTCGCCAACTTTCCAACCAAAGTGTTTAAGAGAAAAGGCAGCAGTGTTCTGCCAGGCTACTCATTACTCCAACCTGAAACAGAAGCTACACCCTCTCTGTGACTGTGTCTCAGACTCCTGCTGTTCACTGTAAAAACTGCTGGAAGGAAACAAAATCAAATCAAAAGCATGAGGTAGGAGAGTGCAACAAAACTGTAATACATGACACAGTCTGGATCATGTCTGTGCCAATTCTTTTTTTATAATGTTTGAACTAAAAGCTACCCTGGCAGCTGTGTGCAGAAAACGAGTTGTTAACACACCAGATTTCATTGGAGCTATTTCTAAAAGTGCAGCCTACTTCATTGCACACTAATCAGAACAAGTGGCAAAAGTTATATTAGAGGATATTTGTAGTTTTCTCTTAATAATAGACTGCTCTGAAGCAGGCTAAGGGGCACTCCAGCATTTTAGCCCAAGGTGAGATGACCCTGATGACGTCACAATAATGCTCCTCCAGAGCCACAGGAGACATTACACAACTGTTTCCATAAGCTGAGTAGTACTAACCAGGATGAGTAAACCATCTTTGACATGTAAAATTTGTGGAGTGCCCCTTTAACACAAGTATTGGACTCTGTTGAACTCATGGGTAGAAAAAAAGAGTTGGCTTTGAATAGTGTCGTGAGTTGTGATTCAAACACTACATTAATGATCGCGAAAGAACCCTGATATTGAGTTGTCTGGCAGTTACTAGACAGACAGTGCAACCAATCAAAATGCACAGCAGAAGCAGGAAGAGATCCAGGTGAAAATTAACCAGACCTCAAGAGATAACGATTTGAGGTCTGGCCTTGTGGGGGTACTGTTAAAGGAGGTTCTTACTTCTTCTTGCTGTATCATCTTGTATCATTTTAATGGCTCTCTGGCCTCTGACTTACTTGTGCGATTGATGTCTTGAAGACTCTGCTCATTTGAATCCATAAGTCCTTCCTCCATGTCTATGTCTCTGTAGTGGTCATGCTCGCGGTGTCTGTGGTGGCTATAGCGCCTGTCCCTGTCCATGTCAGCAGCCTCACGGCTAGAGCGCCTTCGCCTGCGTTTGCGACGATATCCTCGAGGCACTGGGACGCCAATGTAGATGGACTGATGGTCTGGGGACAAATATGAATGGTCCTTGGATGGTTAAATGAATATGCACTACGCTGTACAATAAGACCACAATTTTTCCAAAATAAGTGACATGTCTCATGAGAGTCCCCAGAATAGTTGGCTGACAGCCAGTAAAACTGGCAGATTGTCTAATGAGATCTTTCTTTAATCTCTTTAAGGAGTGTTTTCATGAATGTTGAAGCACTTTAACAAACTTTGAATAAATTATGATTCACATCATGTTATTAACAACAACAGCATTCTCAGTTGGCACAGTCACAAATACAAGACAATCAAAAATTCACAATCACTCAGTCCCAAAGCTTTCCTGTGATTTGGCTTTTGGCTCACATGATCCCTGTTTTGCAACAAAAACCTGGATGATGTGAGTTTGATCATCTGCTGGCAATTAAGGTGTCGTTCTAAAACTAATTGCACACCAAACTCCATGTGGAATAACTAAACAACAGGGAGACGCAAGCCAATATTGGATGCTTGTAAAAAGAGAACAGAACTTGCTAACCTGCTGCTCATGGTGATGACAGAACACACACAAACACACATATACAGCTCCATCTCCAAAAAAAAAAAAAAAGACACATCCAGAGAGAAACACAAAACATACAAACAATCTTCACTCCTCATTTGCAGCCCATTAACAACATTCACCCACACAAACAAGCCCACAGAACAAATTAAAAACAAAGGGACAAATTAGAAACTACATGGTTGTGTGATGAATCAACTGTCTCACGATATTATTAAGAGACAAAGTGGGTGTAATGACTTAATTTCATGTTTCTCTTAGCAGAGGGCCAACCATCTGATGGATCTACCAAAGATATGAACCACACACACATGTGCACACACACTCACCCTCCTCCTCCTCATAGCGAAGGTTAGAGACGCCCATCCCTCTGTCCCCATGCTCCATCCTGGTATAGAGGAAAGGTGAGAGTGAAAAGACACTTCAGGTACGTGTAGCATTAGACAGTGTGTATTATGATTATTTGCACGTGTGTATGCTGTGTAATGCACACTGTAAATGTAAATGTGCAAATGTGTGCGTTCTGTAATACCTGTGTGTTCCTTCCTTTTATGTAATTGTACATGTATGTTAGGATTGTAATGTACACGTGTGTTTCAGTGATTCCTGCGTGTGTTTGTGTCATTGCTCTATTTCTGGTACACAGGCCTCCAGCAGCAGCAGCAGCAGCAGCAGCAGCAGCTCTTGTTCACTGCCCTGCATGTATGGTTCAGTGCAGATCAATGGGAAAATAATTAAAAGTGAGGGCAAATCAATAGAAATGTGCATAGTTAAAACAAATGTGAGCATAACTTATCGCACGTGGACCCAGTTCACACAATGAACAGTAAAGTTTAAGGCCACCCTGTTCCTGCTGAAGAGAGGTTAGAAAGAGTGCATACCTTCACAGTATTATTTACAGTAGTGTAATTGCAGGCTAGATGAAGTTTGAAATTTGAATTTGCCTATGAGGAGATGAGAAGTTATTACAAGATAGGCAGTGAAGTGAACAAGGCCTATGCCACAATGTGAGAATTGGCAATTTGTTTT